ATCTATCACTCGGGAACCGTACATGTTTCCGGAATAAAAAGAAGCCTATGCGCTATTTCAGACTATGATCTATCTCGCAGCGTGATTGAGTAACAAACATCCAAATATCCATTTAGACTTTCAATTTATAATACTAGTAAGATTTTACCTTGTTAATTTATATTGCGCGACCCTAAATACGTATATATAGTGATATGACGTTAAGGCACTGCATAGAGTATAGTTTGCGGCGCAAGCTGCAGCTCAATTACTAACAACATCATAAATCATCACGTATTTCTCAAGCTGAGCACGCGAGCAACGTCGAGGGCGACAGCTAGTTCATTATGTGAATTATTACATGTAGTTATAAATATAATATTGTGACAAAGTCCTACCCGAGATAAAGACGCTGCGTTCATATTACTACAAAGTTAATATAAAACTAATTTAAAACCATATCAAAAAACTATGCATGCTAGTCGAGAGCTTTTCAACCTTTTACTACTACTACTAACATTATAAATATCTAAGTGAATTTTGTTTGTTCGTCTGTCCCTTTATCACGCAGCAACGACGGAGTTAACACCAAACTTGACTTTTTGCGTAGAGATAGTTTGGGTTTCGGAAATATATAGTTATAGTAGCCCTGTTACTTTAAGTGGTTCCTGTAGTTTAGCTGAAAGAAAAGCGAGCGAGCAGAGGACGTGGAACTAATGACTAGTTACATAATATTACATTGCTCCGACAAGATATTTTGAACTCTAACAACATCATAGTAAAGTATAAAAATATTTTAAAGTGTCAATTTTATGAGAAATACCCAATTAGCCGAAGATCCTCGACTTTTCTTAATAAACATTCTATTCACTCACTGCTCGTTGAAGCTTTTCAATTTGTGTTAATATAAATTGAATGAAAAGATAAATCAAAATATAGTCGGTACGAAATAATAATAGTCGGTCTTATTTGTTCTATTGTCAATTTCACTGATTCAGTTCAGCCATTACTGGCGCGGATGATGGAAGTCGATGAATAAGATACATGAACATATATTTATTCCATCGTTTTCGATTTTAACTTGAACTTACTTGGTTAAAATTATTCATAAGTTAAAACTAACTCTCGGGCGCGTCCCTGGGTATAGGTACGTATTAAGTAAATATGAATAGTAATTGTGAGTGTACCTTCGGGAAAATACCTACTTATGCTATTGCAGATATTTTTGTAGGCCTTATTAAGATCTACAATTTTCTAATACATTGTTTTGTTGTACCTCTTACGGTTTAGCCAGCTTTAGACATGTTTTCTTAGAACGACTCGATAGAAACAGTTATCGTGTTTTCCCGTGGGAATGGAAGATTTTCCTGCAGTAAAAATATCCTAAATGTTGATCCGAGTTATAAGTTATCACTACACAACATTTTGTCAAAACCAGTCCTGTACTTTTTGCGTAAAACTATTGTTATGAGGTCTATCTTCTGTACATTACAAAGTTTTTCGCTAAGATTTCGCTAAGTCATTGTTTTATTATATTTATAGATTACTTTAAAGTTTAAAGTTAAGACTATATTATATTATATTCTACACAAAATATTTACATCTGTCGGCCGATAAACTAACTCTATAAAAATAATCGCGTCCAACATCGCGAACACCTAGGACAAAACAATAAACAGAAAAATCACTTTCGTATTAATAATGGTAATACGAATCTATGTATTATGTATGGCTTGTTTACTTTGTTTGATGTCTAATTGCCTAATGTTGTGTCAGCGCTCGAATCGGCACGTCTAAGTGAGCGCAGCTCTTGTATTGGCGCCAATCATCTGATAATCAAGTCGCACGGCCTCGTTACCTCTATACCGGTCGGTGCCGAAGCCTGGACAGGTGACAATTCATTTATAGCAAAATATTCATCAGAAAAATAAATAATAAATAAAAGTTTACTTACAAAAAGATTAGCATTTCACAAAAAATAAAATAAAAATTGAGCTCTACCTTTTTAGAGTTCGTAGCCAAAAGGCTAAACCGGACCCTTTTATTTAATCTTGTGGATTGCTCATATTATGACATTTAACTACGTTGTCAATAGGTTCAATAATTATATAATGTAATATATGAAGATTTGACATTCGCAGTAGGTACTGCCCAGTGTCCAGTGCCCACTGCCCACTGCCCACTGCCATGCGTTGATGACGTATTGTATATAAGATGTATTTATTTCCAATTAAAGAGTTCGTCGACTCTAGAATTAGTTATTAACTTACAGTAATAAGTTGTATCTTATCTAATTTAATTTTTCCTCATTAAGGTAACTTTTTTACAACATCGGACACGGTCCCTAGGCAAGCTTTGTAACTCACTAGACCGAATAGAAACGCAATAAAAATTAAAACCCACTTAATCTTAGAAAAATAAGACCGAAATACGAATTAATTTCCAGCCGTGCTTTAATATAATAAGTATATAAAAACTTCTTGACGAATGTTGTTGCAGCAAATAGAATTTCAAATTTAAATTAAATAATTAAGAAATAATTCTACTTCATGTATTAAAATAATTAGTTTTAAATGACGTCTGTAAGATATAAAACTAAAAAATACGGTTTATCTTGAGTGAATGAATTATATGGTGTTATTTTAAAAGTATGAGTTATCTCTGTAAATATAAAAGGAAACACTGTCTGATCTATTATCGCACCACTCAAACCACTGAATAGATTGGGTGGATTTGGCAGATAGTTATTATGACGTAGGCATCAGCTAAAAACGGATTTTGAAAATTCATCCCCTAAAGGGGGTTCAACAATGCTTCAACATTTGTATGGAGAAATCTATAAAAAAGGTGTATCAATTCGCAGGATTACTTCTATCAAAAAATAATAAACACATGTTTCGTGCTTTTCAAAAACAACCCCTTAAAAACCCTTAAACCCCTTATAAAGAGGTAAATAGTCTAAAGATCAAACGTGGGCGAGCGATGCCAGCTGCCGCGGGCTAAAGCTGTGACACAAAAGTGACTAAATAAAAATTGTTTTACACGAACATTACTCTTTTGTACGAAAGTTATATTAAATCAAATGAACTTGCAGATTTTTCAAATTATTCAATTACAGGTTACTTATATTAAACGGAGATAAAAAATCGTTACGGCTTCGAAAGAGACGCTTCTGGCAGCTCCGTTGCAGCCCTCAGTATAATATATTGTAAAAGCCGCACATTCTTTACGTTTCGGTGAAATGGAAAACTTGAAACGCACTCGTGATAAGCGTAAGAACACAACCGAGAGCGAGGTGGGGGCTCATTCATTTGCGACCAGCAATGACTGGATATCCTGACCTGCGGTGTGAATCATGCGACCCGCGTTCGCGACACGATCACTTTGAACCTAAGAAAATAATAAATATACAATTTATTTATTTGACTTTTTTGTTTGTATAAATATTATGTTGTCCATCCGTCCTCACTGACCTATTTAACTCGTATCTAATATTGGCAATGGATATCGACACATTTATAAGCTGAAATAAGAAATGCTAAAAAATAACATTTTTATTAACTATATGATTTTAATAGGATTTTATCTGTAAGACTTATAAGTACAAGCCTAATTTACAATTAAATCGATTTGAGTCGAGTAGATCTTTATTTTTTATTATTATTATTTTTTTTTATTAAGATTCACCAGTGGTAATTACATTATTACAGTAAAAAATTAAATCTTGACACAGTTTCAGCTTCTCGTGCAAACGCACCCCATATAAAGTAAGATCATGCGTAAAATTTGTAGAGTTAAAAGCGAACACAATATAAATGTGTACGAACTTCAAGAAGAAAATATATAATAAAAATGAATGCAGTTTATGTGTTGGCTTATTCAATTTCTGATCTTAAGGTCCTGAATTCTATTCCCAGGTCGGGCCAAAAAAACCGCTTGCAGTAGGTTTTCTGTCAAGAATATGAGTCCAGTAGAGGGATGCTGATGATGAGAACAATCATTGCAGGTGCATCGTTGGGAAGCAATGGGGCAAACAAACAAACCGAAAATAATGCTCTGGCTTTACACTACCGTTGTACGAGTATCCCTTACATACGGCAGCCTAGTCTGGTAGCCCATAACGGAACTAAGCACAATCTAGAATAACACAAGCTCACACACAACGTGCAAAACTACCTAAGTACGGCAAAAGCCTTGCAAGAAGAAGAAGAATAACAATTAGTGAAAGGAAATAGAGAACACTTGTATGCCATACCATCCCTCTGCTAACTAATCTTATTGAAATTAGTCGCCTCAACCAAACATCGGTTAGGAGGAACGACGAATGCTTAGGTCCCCAGTGCTCGCGGTGAACCTGCGCCGGAGCTCGGCGCCATACTGTTACACCAGCGAGATTTCATCTGCGTGTTATTTTCGCGGCAACAATACGTGACTGCCATATTTGGACACATTTTATGTTTTTTAACTCGGTCTTCACCTTAAAAAACCATTTAATCTTATACAGAAGTAACGTTAATTGCCTTTTGTTTGGCCAAATATGTCCTTTAATTCTAAAGTTGCGTTAAATAAAAATGAATGTTTACTAAAAGAGTAATCTGATAGCGGTTGGACCGATCACGAACGTAACTGTGCTTCAGTACAGAAGCCGTTAATTTCAAAACAATTTAAATATAATACGAAAGAAATCTTAAACGCATGCGGCTACTGCTCTTGCATACTGAACCACAACACCAAATTTTTCAAGACAGAAAATTCAAATAATCTCAGTTCGAAGACTATATTTATCAAGTATCAACGTTGTTTGTGGTTCTCAGCTGTTGATATCACCCCGTCTATTTCAGGAAACATTCCGGACTATATTTGTAAACTCTTTCCGATCGCAGCGACAGGTACGCGCCGTATAGTTTACTTGTAGACAACTGTCAAGTATCCAAATTAAGGAGGAAAACAAAATAAAGGAGGTAAATACTACAGTTATTTCATTCTTCCATCATATAAAAGTAAACCTTAGAACCAGAACCATGTTAATCTTAGGAATACGATACGATTGTGTTTGTTGTAATGTCGACATGTCCGTCTTCCACGCAACAACAACGATAGAGAGGTAGGTAGAGGTAGGTTGTACTCGTAACTGTTAGGTACCTACCCGACAGGCGCCTGTAGTGGTGTCCGGAGATATCGAATAGAGTTGCTGAGGAAGACGAGGGGGCATTATGGCATTTAAAATGCGTCGAAGTGCCTATACAAACTTTCATCCCATTTTTCAATCCCTTAAGGGATGATTTTCGGGATAAAAACTATCCTGAGTCCTTGCCAGGGTCTCAATCTCTCTTCATACCAAATTTCATTTAAATCGGCTAAGTGAATTTTTACATTTTTTTTTCTCTTCATAACAGTAGTACAGTAGATACATAATAGTTAATACAATATAATAAACTAGTAGATAAGGTTTTTATAATTTTTGCTATTTATTTATGGCTAATTACTTTCATAGTTTACAATTTTTTTAAATGATACGTTAAATTTTTCTTAAAATACTTACTATGAGTATTCAAAAAATCATTATAATTATTGCTCTAACGCGCCGAAACAAGTATGTTGTATTATCATGGTGTTTTGATTTTCATGAAGATTTGATACTTTTTAATTTTTAATTTATATCAACTACCTACTTTAATTTAAATATTTATACCGATGGCCATTATTTCAAACTTTGTAGTTATTTTCCACATTTTAATTGCTTCAATTTTTTAAATTTGTAATTTAAAAAATAATTTAGCAGAATTGGATAAAATTATGTATTTATATTTATAACTATCATGTTTCAGTAGGGACCTGCAAAAACTAGTATTAAAGGCGGTCTCATTATACTTCGTTATGCGTTATTTACAAACGCACCAACCATTTAAAATTATATTAGAAGTGTAAATAGATAAAATTATGTTTTATATGCATTATTTATATCACAGATTTGAATACCTACTTAAATGTGTAGCAACCCAGCCGCCGGCCAACAACGACATAATATATAAGGAAACGTTAAACACCTCAAGTCATTAACTTGTCGTTTTAATTCAGTTTCAATTTAGCCTGAACATCACTACCTACTCTGTTATATCTGTCACATGGCTATAAACATAAAGAATATATAAGTTAAGTACCTTTTTTCTAATTAAGGAACGGATGGTACATCACTAGGTGCATGCTCTATGTTTACCGAGGTACTCTATTAAACGAATAAGTGCATTTCTTATTTAAAAAATACATTATTAGAAAATAGAATATATGTAAGTAACTACTGTGTGTTTATTTAAATAAGATATGGCTACTTACATTTTTGGTAACACCACGAGTCGTAATTGAGATAAAGTCCTTAAAAATGGTAAAAGTGCGAGATTATCTGGTGAAATTAAATAAAGTATGGAGTGCTTCGTGTCAGAATTAATTACAATACAAGATGACCAATTTACGCCTAAATCTCTTAGTATCATGTCCTACCATTTTAGGCGCGATGACCGGTCGCTTGTTCCTTATAAAGAAAGATTTTTGGCTTTCGAAATCATTTGCAAGCATCAAGCTTGTGGAACCTACTTATCGTCGTGCTGTGTATCGTGTACCTATATAAGTAATTATATGTATAACGCAAAGGTCAACGTTCTGATGAAATGCTTCTGATTCGAAATTATCTTATCATTATTTTTAATAATTATCATATAAATAACTACAAAAAACAAAAAGAATTTTTAATTGAAATTAGAGAGTATTAATTGTGGGTACAAGTTTAGCATATAGGTACCGCAGCCTCTGGTATTTTTTGGGTAGGGTAGTATCACCTCGATAGGGAGTCTAAATATATATATATAATTATTATTTTAAGAAAATAAAGGAGTCAAAAGTTATGGTGACACCCCCTTATTCTTAGTCGTCAAGTTTACGACTTAGGCTCAAACTAAACTCAAGTCGGGCCTGTCACATAATAATCATTCATAAAACCTTCATTTTTATTTTCCACCCGGTAGGTAGGTAGGAATAGAAAACTAATTGAAGACATTAAAAATTAAATCCGCCTATGACACTCGTGTCATCGAAATGAATCTAACGACCACCCAGTAACGACGTTTAATTCTTAATTAAAATCGGTCAAGTGTGTGTCGAACACTATGCATTAATCGATATTTTTTTAATTTACATGAAAACTAAATCTTGGCAAATTATTCGGTGTTATAGCGGTAATAAAAATACACACTATGAAATTTTCAACCCTCTACATATTACGGTTCATGAGATCAGCCCGTCCCATTGAACAGACAGACAGACGAAAAGACCGACGGACGGAGGCGGAGGCTTTGTAATAGTGACCGCTTGGCACCCTTTGGGTACGCAACTCTAATTGGTTCAGCCATTATTAATTACGAGGGAATATAGAACCTGATATACATACACATGGGCGTACCCAGCTTTTGGTCCGGGGGGGGGGCAAAACAGAAATATATTATTATTATTTTTTAAGTACCTAGGTCGAGACAAGTTAAGTTTTTATTCGTTATTAAGTTTTTCTTTAATTTAAATATGCGCTATATAAATAGTCCGCTCGCGATGCGCTACGCAAAAATGGAGGGGGGATGGGGGGTTGAAAAATAGTTTTTTTTTTCAATTCTGGCTTGCTGTGACATCCTGTCGAAAAATATTCTTTACAAAAGTGGTAGGTGTAGTAAAAATCTACGACTTTTATTTAAATTTTCGACAAAAAGACCGTTTTTTAATTTTTTCTTGTTTTTTTTTTTACTTTAAATTTCTGCAATTATTTTTTGATTTTCATGAAACTAGGGGAATATAATCTTCGAAATAAATATAATATCCATTTTTTTTTAAATTAAAATGTTTAGCCGTTTCTAAAAAAAATATACATATTTAATGGTCTCGGAAGACTTAAAAAATCACCCCCAACTTCAAGTGGATGTTTACATTTAAAAAAAAATCGTTCAATTTTCAGATAGGGCACATTTTTTTAGTCTTACACTCTACTTACTACTGTTTGAAGACATAAAAACATTGTATGGTCGTCCTGTAAAACTGGAGAAATCCATAATTTTTACTTTACATTTTTTAAATCATTGAAAAATTTAGTTACTTTCATGAAAATCGAAAAATATTAGCAGAAATTAAAAATTAAAAAAAGCAAGAAAAAATAAACAAACGTTTTTTTTTTAGAAATATTTCGAAAACTTTGAGGTTAGTGTCATTAGAAATACTTGAAACCGTCAGATTAAGGTGTGGTGGTATTTCTACCTTATCAAAACATTTTTTAAATATTTTAATCGGCTTCCCTAGACGCGCCCCTTTATATAGAAGACTTATATTATGGTGAAAGTACTCAATAGAGTGCAAGGTAACCTCTTTTATGTTAATCTGCCGCGCTTGAGTAACTACAAAAATCCCCTCTTGGGCTCCCCTACCAAAATACGAGCTCGCGGGCCAGTCGTTGGCGCGGCAGCGAGTGGCTGGCGAGCGTGGAGCTCGCCACTCGCATGCTGCTCTAGAATGTAATTGTATGAACACAAGTTGACCGGGCACGCAGCGCAATTTTTTATAAGTAGTAAGTACATACATACAATGTATGTATATGTCTATATAACCTATAATAATGTATGTATATGTCTATATAAACTGCCTCAGTGGTGTAGTGGCTAGCATGTATGGCTGCACACCCGGAGGTCCTGGGATCGAGTCCCGGGTAGGACCAAGTTTAGTTATTGAGTTTTTCTGTATAGTAAGCCTCAGTAACAGCCCGGAGTTGGGAAGTTGGCGGTGTTTCACCCCCGTGCCTCGGAGAGCACGTAAAGCCGTCGGTCCTGCGCCTTAACTCTCACTGGTCGTGTCGAGCAGTCGTCCCACCGGAGTATGAGAGTGACAGGAATAGAGAGTGCACTTGTGTCTGCGCGTACACTTGTGCACTATAATATCTCCTGCGCATTTGGCTAAACTCAATGAGATTGGCCGCCGTAGCCGGAATCGGCTAGGAGAACATCATGTCTATATAACATACAGGACAAAGTTCAAACACATAACACTCTTCGGGCATTATCGCAATAGAAATTTTTTTTAGAACACCTGTTTGTTGATCTAATAAACATAATTTTAGTTACCTATATTATATTAAACGTCTATTTTTATATGGACAATAATGTAAGAGATATGTGGGAGTGTGGGAAATATCTGAAGCAGGAACAAAAACTTCGTGCTCGCTCGGAGAATAATATTCGTTGAGTTCATAATATTCAAGTTAATGTTTTTAATTTCGTTTATTTTTTGGTTTCGCTTATTATTTTAAAGTGAATATTATAATTAAATATAATATTCACTTTAAAATAATTTTAATTTAATTTCAACTAATTACCAACATCAAATTATTGTTTTTCTGATCAAAATACCTATTTAATTTGACAGTTATTATAAATGTTGTCACATCATATTTGACATTGACAGTTCGTGCACAGTTCACACAGTGAATGGCCGAATCTTTATACCCTTATTATATTATTTACACAGTACTACTATTAAAATGAGCTGACGTGGATCTAGTTCAAAGCTTATAACTTATGCATTCCAGTTCAACCTAATTTGAAATAAGTTTATGTGATAATGGCGGGGGCGCCAGTAAAATTAGGGTCAATCTTGTCTTTATGTGTTGTATTTTATGCTGTATTTTATAGAAAGGATAACTTTGAAGATGTGAGACTTTCTCCTGTAAAAGAACACCTGTTGTACTTAGAACATGAAAACAAAGTAGGATCTGGAATTCGTCAGCCTAAAGTGGCTCTTGGTTACGGCGCATGCCATGATCTCTTTGTAAATGCAACGTCATTGTTAAACCCTAAAGATTTACGAGGAAGCCCAGAACATTTTAACGAAATATCCAATATGGAAGAATTTTTAAAGAGTTTTACTTACTTTTTCAAGCATGGAGCAGCTGCAGAGTAAGCCCTAATTCTAGTTAAACTGTTTTAAACTTAGATGATATTGTCTAGTATAAATTAAAACATCAGTACGTTTTTTTTAGGCGATTTATGTCAAACAGCGAGCTCTATGATGAACTTGTTAAAATATCTCTCACTCTACCAGACTCGAGATATGCCATTGGTGGAAATGCACCACTTATGGCAAATAGATTTTTTATGGAAGGATGGAAAGTTTTACTAGGTGCTAAAATGAGTAAACGATTGAAAAACTACATTCCAAAAGATATCCAAATAGTGGGTGATGATGAAAATGAGGAAGTAAAGGATGATGTCCACATGATTTTAGAATATAGAGCTGATGAACAATTTGGCAAATACAAATCCCCCAGAGCTAATAGATACATAATGCATAATGATGAAAACAACCCTTTATTGACTTCTTTGGAAAAGCTTGGAGAATATTTGCCCAATTTTAATCCTAACTTACTAGTTATTAGTGGATTGCAAATGATGGATAACTTTCCTTTCAAACAAAATGGCAAAGGTAATCAGTGTTTTGTTTTTAATTATTAATATTAATGTTGTTTATAAATATAAGAGATATTGATATAAATTAACATATTTATATGAATTAACCTGTTATAAATTGTCATGATGAAATCATTAATAAAGTTAAAATCAAAGTAGCATTAATTAAGTAAACTAAATACTAATATTAAACTTTGTAATGTGCATGTTATAACCCTCCAAAATTATATTACAAAGTAGATTTTTATATTACAAGACTTTTGGGTTAATAAATAGCATCAGTTGGTTGCTGGATGTTTATGGCATACCAAACGAGTAGAACAGAGCAATAATTAATAAGTTTGTTAAAATAATACTGGACTTCATCAAACAATGTCCATGGTAATCAGTTTACTCTGCAGATTACTTAGTGATGCTGATGCAACACAAATAACTACAAATTATTTTAATAATGTCTTAATGTGATTTCTTATCTGGTATTTATGTTATATATTATTGCCACATATTTAAATGAATTATAAATAAATGATCAAAAACCACATAAAAATTATTATAAACAAGAATTTTATAAGCAAATTCAAATATAATATCAACAATTCATTCAGATTTGACTTAAAGAAAATATATTTACAATGTTCCAGATTTAAGAGCCGAAAGATTGGATTTAGTAAAGAAGCAAATATTATCACAGCCGTTGAACACTTTGGCTCACTTTGAAATGGCAAGCTATGTAGATCTAGAATTACTTTTGCATTTAACTACAAAAGTTTTACCTTATGTAGACTCTGTCGGTATGAACGAACAGGAATTATCTAATCTAAACAGTATCCTAGAATATGGAAAAGTTATTGTTGTTGCTGATTCTAACCCAAGAGTGGCCACTGCATTGGACCAAATGCGTAAGACATTCCAAATAATCAGACAAAAGAATAAAGAGTTTGGAAGTAAAAGAAAATTGACACGAATCCATGTGCATACATTAGCTTACCAAGCTATTCTAACAGTGAAAAACTCAAATTGGAAGCGAACTAAGGCTGCTGCAGCAAAAGCCTCACTGACAGCTCACAGATATGTTTGCAACAGCTCCAACATAGCTCTAGACAAGACTAAACTGCTTCTTGATGACAGTTTTTCAACAACCACAGATGACAATAACAATAGCCGTGTATTCCTTAAGCCAACAGAGCCAGTGGCTTGTTGGGATGAAGTACTGGACGATGATGAAGTAGACATTTGTGTAGCCCCTGTGCTCATCTGCACCGAGGCCCAACTGACGGCAGGTGCAGGTGATAACATTTCTGCTGCTGGATTGGTGTTACAAATTGAGAAATGAATAGAAAAAGTTACAAAGAACTAAACATGTGAACAACTTTTGAGCAATATATCTATTCATATATTTATTATATAGTAATAACTAATAATATGACACTTTTGAAAAACATATTTTTATCCAACTCTAACAAAATGTTTTACATGATATGGTGTGCCGTTATGTATTTTCAAACCTCTTGCCAGTTGCCTGTACTTATTTTTTTAAAGTAATATATAACAAAGTACAATTTAATCTAGATATTGGATTATAAACAAAAAAGTATGCAAATCTTTAAGATTATTATAAATTGTTATTTTTTATCGCTTGATAAGAGAACTGAAAACTTAGACCTATTAAGAGTTCAAAATATGTGCATTTATTATAATCTTTTATTATTTATTGTAAGGTAATAAGTAAATAATTGTGGTCTGGTAGGATGTGTTGTAATTTTTAAGATTTACATTGGTAATGGAATAATTTTTTTACCTTAGTGTTTGTTGGGAGGGAGGTCAAATGTAGTCATTTTATGCTAGCCATTGTAGATTCTAATGTTTGTCAATTTTAAATATTCTCCACATAATTGAATATTTGGCATAATAATTATGTGACCGGTATTGCCACAAAGAAGTGAATTGCTTTAAGGCAGTACCTATTTAATTGGTAAAAAGAACACAATAACTTAATTATATTATTTCTATTTTCTATGCTATAATTCATTGTTCACAAATGTTTGATTCATTGGCTAAAATGCTGAATTGTTTCATTTTATATATTTTTTATAACATTTTAATCACTTATAAACATTCCTATAAAATAAAATTATTTCTGACTGCTGAAATTTACAGTATGCAATAAAACTATTCATATTGAATATAGTTTTTATTTTTTTTAATCCCTACATGTATACATTCTTAGAATCAATCAGGATTTTTGAATTTAACATGACAAATCCTTTAAATATTACTGTAATAACATAGATGTGTATCACTCTATAGATTTTTAACTTTACCAAGTAAATAGTTATAAAAATTTACTGCCGTACATGAAAAATCATATGCTCTCAAGTTGGGTAATTAATAGTTTGCCTATTTTGTATATGTTGTGTGATAGCCTCTGCTGTTGTGAAGCAATTTAAAGATTCTTATTTATGAATACCTGAATGGGTAGAATAATTACTTTCTAGTAAGTTAAGGTTAGTACTTAGTCTTATCTTTTAATTTAAAAACTATTGAGATATTTCATAAGAATTAATAGTATATATCAATATATTGGCAACATAAACACTGGTGGTTCATAAAAAATGTACATAGATAGCTCCTAGATTAATTATGCATGCAAATATATTTTATCCTAGCAATAAATATGATGATTACACAAAATTATACTATCTTAAATATTTAAATCCTTTACAGGTACCCTGTTGTTGGGTAAAATACATTTATTAGCACAACTGCTAAAAATAATTATACAAATATAACACCTCCAGGTAAATTTCTAAGAAATCTATTGTTAACTGTTACGCCGGCGTGTCCGCAGTCATGGAGGGATGAACACTATCTGCTTTGTAAATCATATTATGTATAAAATAATATACAAATAACAATTTTAGTTTAATATTTTTTAAATACTTATTTCACTTCAAAATATAATTATGTTACAAGTCTTTATAAATATAACAAAAAAGAACTTACAAGTTCATGAAGTGTTAAAGATAACTAGTAGAATTACAGCCATTTAAATTAAACCTAAACAATTTTTCTATTGAAATTACTAAATAATATTAGTGGTGACTAGAAAAATTGTTAAAGAGTTTATTTTTCCATACCATTAACAAATTAGGTAAAATAAAAATATTTTACATTGTTTGTAGGATTCAGGTGATTTATAGTTACTTATAAAATAGTTCACTTTATCATTAATGATTTTCACACAAGTTATATTTGAGAATGTAAGGTACATAATATGTAGTTACAAATTATTCCTAAATAATTTTCATGATACGCTCCATTCTGGATAACATGAATCAACAAAACACATGATTATACTCAGATTCAATAACAACAAAAAAGGACTACTCATTTAATTCAGTCTTTGTAGAGTACTTAAAATAACAGTGATAAATCCTTATTCGTCATCTTCTTTGAATTTTATTTTCTTGTTTAGCGGCTGCCCAATAGCTCTGTATGGATCATATATGCCACTTCTCACAAATCTCTTAGCAGCTTCTATGTCCACAGTCGGTCTTTTGTCGCGATCTTTGACTTCCTGCCACTTTAACATAGTCGCCTTTATTCGCTGGAGCTCATCTTTAATTGGATGCTTGGTCGGGTCCACGCCCTGTATTCGCAAGTGTATCCAGTGCAAGGAGTTCAACGTGAACGCTAGAAATAGATCTAGCTCGATCTGCGCCGGCAAGCACATCTTGTCATAATGGGCCTTAAGCGGCAATAATTGGTCTAACACTTTTTGCAGCTCCATTAGATTTGCCTTGAGATTTTCACATTTGTTTACATAGTCTTTGTCCTTGGCGAGCTCGCCGTATTTTAAATCCCAATCCATTTTATTTGTGTTGAAATTTTTATAATATTTGTATAATCTCCAACGTTTAGTTGACTTGCTCACAACTAAATCACAAACTTATAATATTTAATAAAAAGTGTAATAAAATTAGTGCAAAACCACGTTTTTATGATAACCATAGATTATTAACCTTCACCACAAGTCGACGATTTACGGCACAGATGTATAAAATATAAATGATATTTTACACAGACATAAACGAGCTCAGACGTAGAGGATCCTAAATACGCCTGAATTAATGCCCAGCTCCGCAGACCGCATCCCCGGTCTGTGGTCTAACGCCTTGTCCGCACTGCAATATTTCACCGTGCGATTTTTATACTCGCGTATTATATAATATATTCCGTGATCGAAATTACACTTAGGCCCTGTCCGCACTGCGATATTTCACAGTGCGACTTTTATTCTCGCGTATTATATTCCGTGATCGGAATTACACTTATTACACACTGCAAATGAAATTTCGTCAATTCGATGCAGTTCCCGGCTGAGACGGACGTCTAAAATGAATAACTGAAAAAATGTATATTTACCTGATACCTACTACTACTGTTACAGAATTGCGAGAAAAAAAAACGTGCGGTGAAATATCGCAGTGCGTAGCGTACAGGGCGTAACTGCGCAGTTTGCCCGAGATGACTATAACAGTGGATAGCATTCGAAGTGATGCATCGGTATAATAATACATAATATAAAATTTTACTTCATTTAAGGCCATACTTATAAAATTGCCGATTTTTTATTTTTAGTAGTATGAAGTTGAATATTTTGTATTCGACTTCGAATTCCATATTAAAATTAGTTTACAATTCTGTTATAAAAATTTTTTTCAATTTTATCTATACGTATAATCAGTAAAATCGATGTGCGTGTTTCATGCAAAAAGTACTAAACCGATTTAATTTTAATAAAATTTTGTGTATTGTTAACTCGAGTCAATATTTAGAATACCTTTTACTACAGGAAAAATTCTTTCATTCCCACGGAGAAACATTATTAACTGGTTCTATCGAGTCGTTCTTAGAAATTTACATGTCTAACACTGGCTAAACCTTAAGAAATATATGATATAATAATATATCAAAACAATGTACTAGAAAATTGTAGATCATAATACAGAAAAATCTGCAATAACATAAGTCTTTCTCCTAAGGTACACTCGCAATAACTAAATTCATATCTAAATAAAACGCACTTAGGGACGCACCCGAGCGAAGCTAAGATAAGCCACTAGTAATTTAAAAAATGCAATAAAGAATGTTTAGGTCAGATAGAGATAAGAGTTTTCAAACAAACTCTACATTATTTATAATACTGGGAATCCTAGAAAAAAAAGAACTGTTGGAGGATATTTTTAAATATTTTTTTCTAACCGGACGTGCGTGCGTCTTATGGAATAAAATCATCTCAAGAAAGTGTCCCTCGCGCCATCCTATTTGAACGTAACTATATAATAGGCTGTTTATTGATATGACCTTTCTTACTCTAACTCGGTATAGTTGAGATCGTAGGTCGTTGTTATTTTTATAATAACAACTAGTATTTGCCCGCGGCCCTGCCTATGTAGTTTAACAACCAAGGGTTTGGATTACAAAGTTTCAGCACCTTTTAACCCTTTAGTGGAATTTGTGCAATTTCCAAAAATCCTTTCTTAACGAATACCAATTTCATTTTTATAAATTCCTCAGAGCATAGGGAGACTTGATGAATTTATGAAAATGAAATAAGAAGCATTTTGAAATCTCACACCGGTATTTTACAAACGCGGAGCCGTTTGTAAAATACCAAACAAACGGTGCGACATGCATACAGAAAGTTTAGGAAATACCTATAGGCATGGTAGAGAAATCAAAAATATTAAATGTTATAAATGACCGTACTAATTGGTAATGAAAACGTTCTTAGAAAAGCGTTATCTTAATTCAATCTCATAAAAACTAAAAACTGTTAAAGAATCACAAAATATATTTATTCATTTACATAAATATTCTTATCTATCTATACATAGTATTGTACGCTTAGATCTTTTAAACTATGCAGCGGATTTTAATGCAGTTTTTAGCAATAGCACAGATCCTATAATACTATACTGCAATAGATAGTGATTCAAGGTTTATATTTATTATACATGCATATTATATTCATATATATAGACTGCGTTATATGTACATATCTTAGGTCATCATGTACATATATTAGGCACTAGCATTGCTCGCGGCTCCGCCCGCGTTCAGATGACCAAAAACCAAATTCTTAGATTTTACATACATACATATTATTAGTATACTCCTACAATGCAGTTCTTGTATTTTTTCTCAGAAATGAGATATTTTCCCGCGGTTTACTTTTTAAAGTATCCTATATGTTGACCCGGATAACCAGCTATCATCATACCAAATTTCATCAAAATCCCTCCAGTGGTTTTTCTGTGATGCGGTAGCAGACAGACAGGCAAACAAAATTTATAAACTATAGATTCGGCTTCTGTATCGATAATAATGTTTATTTCAATAAGATTTTCCAAAAAAAATGTATTATATGTATTGTAAAACGTACCTAGGAACGAACCCGAGCAAAGCGAGAGTGAGTCACTAGTTCATATCATATAAAGTAGTAACAAAGCGCAATTTGTACATGAAATATTTTAAAAAACAATGATTGTTACGCATTGTGTACAGAATATATTATACCTCAAAAGAAGTCATTGAAATTTTTGTTTGTTTGTCTGTACATCATCCATTTCATGTCTGTACATATTTGTGTAAATGCCCATGCAAAGAAATCTATTTCGATACGTAAAATAAATGTTTATTATTTTAACTATAATTAGAGTTCATACGTAATCATATTATTTATTATTTACCTATTAGATATTCATATCTTAAAATATTGTCGGCTGGCACCGACTTCGAAAATATCTTATTAGGTATCTATTTTAAATGAAAACCCCCGTTTAGATATTTTTTACATTTTAGTGCCTGGAAGTCGGGTGTTTTAAAGTTTCAATTTTTCCATTTTTAGTGTAGACGTAATAAGCATTTAATTTATAAAGACTATTTAATATTTGATTAAGTAATTTATTTAAAAAAATAATTTATGGTTGATTTTTTTAAAACCCCTCGACCGATTTCGATAAAATTTTAATGTGACCAACTGGGAAGTATACGGTATACCCTTCGAACAAAAAAGTAAATTTTCCAAATCGGTTTAGGTATCTTTGAGTAATCGGTGAACATACATAAAAAAAGATTCCGACAAATTGAGAACCTCCTCCTTTTTGGAAGCCGGTTAAAAAAAAGTTATAAGCTGGTAATTCTATGTACGAGTATAATACAGTTTGGTTTTAAGCTATGAAATGGTCTATGAGGCATATTTTTGGTAGACCTTACTCATATTTCATTCATTACTCTTATTTTTCCTTACTCATATCATTAAATATTTAAATTGGAATCTTATATTTATTGTAAAATTTGTCAATAAATATAAAAAATATTTATAATTCACATTCATTTATTTAAAGAAAAACACAGTTATAATAATTTGAAGTTAGTAATGTGTGTACTTCGATATTTTATTATATATAATTTCGCGAATACATTGCAGCGATTCAAATGATCCTACAAGCTGTGTTAAAAGATAGTTATCCGAAGAGACTATATCAATCATCTAAGTACTCAAAAGGTTCTGGGGGTTCTGGCTCCTTCTCCTCCTCAGTTTTAGGCCCGAAGGCTGCCACTGGCTCCACAAGTACCTGCTCTTCATCACCGGAGTGGTTCAGCATCACTATACCTCCGATAGTTACGTCCTTCAGCGGCAAGTATCCGGAGCCGTCGACTACGGACAGAGTCTTGAGCTGTTGCCGCATCACTCTGGCTGGATTACTAAGAATTTCAAAGTTTGGTTCGGGCTCTTTCTTTTCTTTCGTATCTTTTTCTTCTCCCTCCTTCTCCTCTTTTTTTACCTCTTTAGACGTTCCAGCATCTTTATCGGATTTCCCATGAACCGTGATATTCGGATTTGGCGATTTTGACGGCTTCTTTTCCTCTTCGTCAACGTCCATTTTTGAGGTTGTAGAGGAAGTAACGCTGGAGCTGGCGGAGCCCTCGGAGCCGTGCGCGCGTCTGCGGGCCCTGGCCGCTGCGATACTCAATACCGCAGTGGTAACTCTCTCCCTCTCTTCACGTTTCTTTTCTTCCAAGGGTGCTGGATAAGCATAAAGTGATGGCTTCGAGTTTGATTTCAGCTCAAGTTGTGGCATTTTTAAGTCCGAATTTAGAGCAATCAAACAGGTCGGTGTAAACGCGAGTGACAGACAGTGGGCGAGTGGGAACCAGTACCAGTACTGCGTGAACACTAACATACCTACCACAGCCAGCATGTTCATGTGACCGGTTCTATTTTGTAAGGACACAGTGACATTGCGTCCTCCAGCGTCGATAATTCCCTGTGCAAGGATGGCACCGAACTTCGCCATAACGTCTTCGTGTTTGTTTGAAATGACTTGAGCGTAAAGTTGACGGAAGTATGTAACTTTCGGGCAAAGTGCTTCAGTTTGTTGAATTAAAATCATAGCAGACGCAATAAGCGCTCCTTGTCTGACGAAGTTAACGGGGTCGAACTTAACCATAGGTTCTAACAGACCGATGGCCTCACGGTTGCCTGTCCCCGCGCAAGCTATACCCAAGGCCATCGCAGCGCCATAACGAACATGAGGATTGTAAGATTCAGCCAAGAGCGATACCACAGAGGGGCATTGTTCGGGTGTTCTGAACAGTAAGAAGCCAAGAGCTGTGACAGCAGCGCGACGCACGTCGTCGTTTACGTCAGAAACAGCAACGTGTAAGAGTGTACGAATAGAGTCGTTGTTTCCAGTACCGCAGTAGGCGGTGGCGATGGTGTAACATCCTGCCCGCCGCAATAACGGGTCCTTGTCTCTCAACAACTGCTGTACCAGGGCATCGGCTTCCTCGAGTCGTCCATACATGGTGAAGGCAATACCTACGGCCAGACCTCGTAGAATTTTCTCATGCTGAGTTTCTTGAGCATAAGCGACCATGTCTTCGATGGCAGCAGCGTGTCGCGACCCTAACATTACCATACCCATGGCAATACCCGCCGCTTCCCCGGTGACGGCATCATCCTGGTACAGATTAAATTTCAGCTGCTCATAAACATCTTGCCTATGGGTGCCCATGGCGGCCAAACCGAGTCCGAGACATCCTCCATGACGCACCATCTCATTTTGGGCATCTTTTAGTTGTGTTAAAAGATAGTCAATGATATTAGCGCCATGATTAGCATGAATCAATCCCAAGGCATAAAGACCACCACCTTCCGAGTATCCTGAAGATGGACCAGCTTCTTTCGGCAGATAAGACTGCATGAGAGCCAAGGATTCATTCTCGTGGCCTCGGTGTATCACTCCCAATGAAGCTGTCACAGTTAACTTGGCCCAATTTGTAGCTCTCGCTAGCCATTCCAAGTTGTCTCTTAAGAACTGATCACTTGTAGTTCCTGCATGCATAAAAGCATTAGCAATGACTGTTGCTGTGTGACATATTGAAACTCTGATAGCATCCTTTGTGTTTTTTAGAATTAACATATCAGCATGATTAGATCTTATTAAAAATTGTAATTGCAAGCCTATGGACACATCCCCTCCTAATATTGATATTAATTTTTCTACCCTCCGTTGGTGTTCCTTTTCTTCATCTGTGAGACTGTCCATATCTCTTTCAGGTTTTTTAGTTTCCTCTGTAGGGGCCTGGTCCACTTCCATTGAGGATTCTGGGAAAGGTCCACCTTGGGGTTGTGGTTTTCCTCCAAGGGCACTTGGTATTGGTGCTGTTACTCTGAGGGCCTGTAGCACCCTACCAAGGAACTGTTGAGTAGCTGAGTCATACAAATCAAAGGCAATTTGATAAGCCATTAGTACTGATTCTTGAGGACCATGTGTTAATTTATCAAGAATTTCAGCTACTGAAAGAGGATCTTCTAGAAAAATGAGGCACTGACACATATTGACATAATCTGGTATATTTAGTCCCCTGTAAAGGCCCACCAAGGAGCGAAGGACTGTGCTACGAAAACCTCTATTTTGAAGGAGACTCATTGCCACTGTGAAGGCATACTGAAGCATTCCTGTAAAATAAGAAAAATATAATTTAAACTGTGGTAAGTAACTAAACAATTTTATTTATATAATTAATGATAATAATATTACAATAAATTATATAATGTAACATTTTGATATGAAAGAGTTAAAAGAAAGTGATTTAGTATAACTTCATTATTTAAGATTCTGGATTTTATGTATATGATATATTAGAGTAACATATTAGAAATAAACAAAGACATTTACCAGCTATATCATCAGATTTCATAATAGACTCTTCAAAAATATCCATACGTCGCGTTTCCAAAGCCAATCCAAGGGCTTGTCGATACTGTCCATCCTCCAAGCATCGCTGAAACATGCGGTTGACAATCGCTTCCAAACGGGGATCAATTGTCTCTGCTGAACTATCCACGAAAAGGGCCTTTCGTTTTTGTGTATAGAAATCGATAGCTTTTGCAATTGTTGTATCAACATATTCATTTCTTGCATTCACATCAAATAAATCTCCAGCGCCTAGCGCATAAGTGAGGGAATCTTCAAAGGCTCCTAAATGATAATATACCTTGCTGGCCACCAAAGCCGCCAACTGATGTTGTGAGAATACTTTATCTTCGTGTAAGATTTCGATCTTTTCTATAGATTCTGATATCTCCGGCCAGAACTCATCGACGATGTTGTCTAATCTCTTCAAAGCGAATTCTTTAACTTCGTGCATAGGCTCGTCGAGCAGGGATATAATCCCCGCAGCTGATGTAATATTCATAGTGATAAAATTTGTCAATACTTGATTCAAAATTAATACGTTCTATTTATTAATTATAGTTCTTCTGATTGAAATGAGAACAAATCAAAATAAAAGTTCACCACTTCACCATGAATTGACAAATTTGTTATACATAATACAGATAATGTAGCAATATACTCTATGCAAATAATGTCTGTGATTTTAGAAATACACAGTAAGTTAGATTTAAAAAAAAATATCTCTATTTATGTCAAATTTGTGTAAAAAACTGTAGACAATCATAAAAAAATCAAAAATCATAACAGAATATAATATTTTAGTAGTTAATGTAAAACGAATGTGAAATACAAGCATTGTGACAATATTTTTAAACGTAATACCTGTGAAGTGTGACTTTGATGGCTATATCATTGTGAGGTGTCATTTTAATGTCAAAAATAAGAGCTATAGCTACGTAAATTATAGCACGCAGTACGAAACAGCTGCTTAGAATCTGATCAGTGAATAATTCTTCATAATTGTACAAAATGTTGGACTTATTTAGCATTTTCAGTAAAGGGGGCATTGTGTTATGGTGTTTTCAAAGTACGAGTGAAATATTTACACCGTCAGTAAATGCGTTAATAAGAAATGTTATATTACAAGTAAGTCCATTGCTTTACAAGAAACCTTGTTCGTATCTTAATTATGTTATGAATAGATATTATTGCACGAATTACTAATTAAGTAAATTTACTAATTGTTATATAAAAATCTGAAAAATAAACATTTATTTATACGTAATAATACCTAATTTTTTATTCTAGGAACGTACAGGCAACAACACATTTAACCATAATGCTTTGAGCTTACAATATAAACTCGACAATGAGTTTGAGCTTGTGTTTGTCGTTGCATATCAGCGCATATTGCAACTATCCTATGTGGATAAATTTTTAAATGATATACACCTAGAGTTCAGGGATAAATATAAAAATGAGCTGGAAGGAGGCAAGCATAACATGGATTTTGACTTTAAAACTACCTTCGAAAGTGTCTTGAAGCAGTGTGAACAATGGGGTATAAAACTTGTTTTTTTTTATCTTAACTTATACTAATGATTTTAAAAAATCCCATAACAATGTTATTTTTTTAATGTTTTTATGTATTATATTGCAGCTAAGACACAGGCTAAAATTCCAAAGCAAATGAGAACATTTGAAGACTCACAGAAGTCAAAAAAGACTGTTGCATCTATGATAGAACGTAAGGGAGAGGAGAAAAGTAAAAAACAAGGTAATTGTTATATTATTTTATTAAGAGTTCAGAGCAACTCAAAGAGCAAGAGCAAGTCTCTTAAACTTTTGTATGCTGTAGAATGTTAATGTAAAGTTCATTCATCTACTTTAATAGCTAAAATAATTTTATTTGTGCAATATATGTATAAAAGGGTTTTTAATATATTGCCAATTAAAACTATGAGAGCAATACAAATGTCAGACATAGTTATTACTAGAACCAAAATTAACTAGGTCTATGAAGATATGTAAAAGGTAAATCATATTATGGTGACATAACTAGTTCTTGGTTGCCAAGTAATGCAATACACTTCAAAGCCTTTACAAGTATTACTTAATGAGTATAATCTCATTATACTATATTATTATGTAACAAATATGTAACAGATTAAAGAAAAATGACTATTTCGAAATTATTCTACTAATGGCAGTTTCATGCATTTTTACTTTTGTTTGCTTTAAAAATATTTCTATGAAATAGATCATTATGCATGGTTTTACTTTTATCAGTAAATTGCTATTAAAATATTAATTTGCTTGAAATTGTTTCAATCAAAATTTACACATAAATTCAAATAAACTATTAAATAGACAATCATCACATAATAAACTGAAACTTTTCTAAACTTTACAATTGTAAACTTTTTTTTTTAATTTAGCATTTACTCAGTGTTTTGAAATAATTATATATTTCAAAATTTTTGAAGGAACAAAATTGTCTGCTACAGGTGTTATTTTACATTTAAAAGATGATATCAACCTTGTTACTAATTTTAAACTATTTTGGTAATTAATTATTTTCTTTATTTTTTTATAGTTAAAATTGTTGAAAACAAGATCATTCCCAATGGAAAGGTAGAGGAGTCCCCAGAAGCTGAAGATGATGTGATTGCTGCCAACAGGGCTAAACTAGCTCAAAAGCTAGCAACTAAAACAAAGAAGGAAGTTAAGTAAGTGTAGTTTGTTATAAATAAACAAGTTTTAAGGAACAATATAATTGGTTTTTTAAAAATAAGAGAAGATATTGAGTGTCAAAACACTCAACCACAGTATAAAAATCCACACAGCACACTTCTGATACATATGTATGTACCAAAAATACATACATATCTTATATATAATAAATAATTCTACATAAATAAATTATAGCTACATGTACTAATAAATGCACAAGTTATAGAATATAGACAAATAAAACTTTTTTGAAGTTATACTTCTTTTGGGATGTTTGGAAAAAATTATGAGAGTAAAATTTTTACGATGCGCGCGCACACCGACAGCCAAACAGCGACATGATGAAGTTAGCTGATAACTGTCTCTCCGGTTTCTGTGAATACTCATTACCATATTCAAAATAATTTCTCAAGTATTCATAAATCTATAACACGTGTTTTATATCAGTGGAGATAAAATAAATATTTATTTTTATTAATTTATCATTCCTTTTACAAACAGAGAGTTGTGACATACGGGATGAAATCTTTAGCTATTTTTGTTCTGTTACGCCAAAGAAGTATAACTTCTTACGTGCGTACATAAGTAGGTACACACACACGTGTTTTTTATTAACTATTTTTTATTAAGATAAGACAACCACTATGGTTTTTCTTAATTTATTCTGAAACTTTCAGTTATCATACAGAATTAAATCATTGTCTCGTTATTTAAAAAAGATATACAGTGCAGGTGATGTATGCACACGATGTCAGCGGCGAAGCTGTCTGTTACAGGAAGTCACCGAAGAGCCCGAAGCCGGCGGAGAGCAAGGCCAAGAAGCCGCGCGTGTGGGAGCTGGGCGGCGGCGCGCGCGACCTGCCCGCGCTCGACTTCAGCACCGACGCCGGCGCCGACGTGGCGCCCGACGTGCGCGCCGACGCGCAGGTGAATATGTACACTTCTGGTTACCGGTACTCTTTATGAAGTTCAATTATGTTTTAAATAATTACGATATATGAGATACTATCATATATTTATATATGTATTAGCATATTACAATAATATATTTATAGGATATCATTTAAGGAGAGAATATAATATTATATATCATTTATCAGACAATAACGACGGTTACCGTGGCGAAGAACTTACGTACATTTTTTCGTAACGCATTCACCAGCTTACCCCCCAAGTCAAACGTGCGTAAATAAGTTTTACTTCAATAAAAAAAACAATTGACTTGAAGATTACAAGCTAGTCGCGAGCTGTACTGGGTGTAGGCCCATATTACTGTGTACCCCGCTCCCGTGCTCACCGCTTATCCACCGAGACTAGAAAGGCAACAATCAGAAAACATAGCTAACACATTTTATTTACGATTCAGTATTTAATTTTTGAACTATTTTTACATATAATATCTGGTTATATGTATTGGTACAATTGATTTATTTGTGGTCACAAGTATCGTTTTATATTGTACCTAAATGATAATAACACATTAACGTTTCGAAAGTTTAAAGACTTCTTTGAATAAAAAATTTCGTATATAACTTTTTTGAAGTCGGTTTTTATATATTTTTAAGTTTTTATTTTTCTACTTTTAGTGTATATGTAGTAGTAGCAAAATAAAAAGAATGTAATTTAAAAATTCAGTGGGTGAAAATCAATCATCACCTATTTTCTACACTCAGGGGTGGATTTTTCTTTTTAAATTTAACTGGCACCAACTTTGAGTTATATCCTATATTTTAGCCTATATTTAATCGGACTATACTGTAAAAAGTTGTGTGGTCAAACATAATATACGTGTCGAATTGAGACCTCCTTTTTTCGTCAGTTAAAAACAAGAACACGACACGTGTCCTGCACAGAATACTTCACCCCAAAAATAACAAAATAATATATATATTCCCAGTTGGTGGGTCAAATGGCGGGCGCTATCCGTGACCTGGAGGTGGAGTCCGGGGACAGCGGCAGCGAGGAGGAGGAGCAGCACCAGGCCAGCCCCAAGAAGAGTACCGGCGTGTTCAACATCTTCAAAGGTATATATATATTATTAAGAATATTTTATATACTGTATGTTCATAATTTTGTACTTATTTACTTGAAGTTTAATGATCTTATATAGTCATGGATAAAAATAAATAAATAATCTAATAATTGGGTCGTTGACAATTAACTGACATACTTTTTATTAGCTATGTAAATATGGTTCCCCCATAAGTTTTGTTCGACAATAGTAACCTGTGACGCCAATGTTTATTTATTTGCCAACTCAATACACTATTTATTGATTACGAAGTATCAGAAAATTTAATTTTACCATTAATTAAAAATTAATCAGGTTTCCGGGACTAAAATAGATGGCCGTGTTAGTGGAGTTGTGTCTTGTAATTAATCGTGACAACATATTGTGTAAAAAATCGATGCAAAATGCATTGACAAAAAATAGTGCCAAGTGGGTAATGTTTAACACGGTGGTCAGGCCTGGTGGGGTCGAAGGCGCTGACGCGGGAGGCGGCGCAGCCGGCGCTGGCGCGGCTGCGCGACCACCTCATCGCCAAGAACGTGGCCGCCGACGTCGCCACCAAGCTCTGCGACTCCGTGGCCGCCAAGCTCGACGGCAAGGTAAGCGGTTATACCGCATATTAGTTACCTTTACGCGCGGGTTGAGTTAATCTTCTTTGACGCTGTGGCAGATACCGCAATTAAATTATAACGAGACATAACATAAATATTATATTTTTTATAAAATTACTAGCGACCCACCCTCGCTTCGCTCGGGTTCGTCCTGTGGTGCATTTTAATTTTTTGAGTGGAACCCTAATTCTTTTGCTAAAATAAAAGTAGCCTATTAAGTACTGTATGTTAGAGAATATTTAATAAAAAAATACATGTGTTGCCATGTTTCATATTTTATACACGATTCTGAGGGTAGTTGAATGACTGTACGTGACAATAGAGTTTGACAGGTAATAATTTATGACGTGAGTCAGTGCGAGTGAACTCACTTTATTGTGAATACTCGACGGTGCCGCACGAGCACACTGACCATGGCAGACGAGAATCGCGATAACGTAATATCGAATCCATCGGCATCCGTAACATGTATATAATTTCATATGCATTTAGTAAAACGCTGTTATTTCGACATTACAGACAGATATTTGAATTTTATTTATCTGTATAGACTAGTGATAAATGTTCGTTTTTATAAATAATCTTAATATATATAATTCTTCTGTATGTGTGTTTGTTAACCTACTTTTCCTAAATAATTTTAATAGGCGGCTAAAAAGAGCGCGCATAAGTATACGCGCGCGTGTCGATGGGATTGAGCCTTTGCGTAGACTTGTCGTCCGTAATAATATTATTATGATTTACGTCATTTCCGGATAAAATAATGATGATGTTCTCCTGACCTATTCCGGCCATGGCGGCCAATCTCATCGAGACTAGCCAATTGCGCAGGAGATATTATAGTGCAGCGCGTGTGAGAGAGAGCGCAGACACAACGCGCATTCTCTATTCCTGTCACTCTCATACTCCGGTGGGACGACCACTTGACACTCACGGTGAGAGTGTCGGCGCAGGACCGACGGCTTTACGTGCTCTCCGAGGCACGGGGGTGAAACATCGCCAACTTCCCAACAACGGGCTGTTACTGAGGCTTAATATACAAAAAGACTCAATAACTAAACTTAGCCCGACTCGAGACTCGAACCCAGGGCCTCCGGGTGTGCAGCCGTGCATGTTAGCCACTATACCGCCGAGGCAGTTTAAAATAATATTGACATTTTTTATTATATAAGATTTTATTATAATAATTGCTGGTGTAAGATATTATTTCAGTTTTTTTTCAATTTTTATTAACTAAATGTATAGTTTTAATGAGTTCGACGGCTGGCATGTAATACGAGGTGTGTTCGTGCGCGCGCGCAGGTGCTGGGCACGTTCGAGTCGGTGTCGTCGGCGGTGCGCGCGTCGCTGACGGACGCGCTGGTGCAGATCCTGTCGCCGCGGCGGCGCGTGGACGTGCTGCGCGACTGCCTGCACGCGCGCCAGCAGGGACGCCCCTACGTCATCGCCTTCTGCGGGGTGAGCATACACACACACGCACACACGCACGCACCAGCGCAGCGGTGCAGCACTGTTATAGTGCACAAATATGAGCGCAAACACTTATTCCTTACACTCTCGAATTCTGGTAGAACAATAATTTGACAATAGGAGATCAGTTCCAGGATAGTGGAGGCACGGGGGTGTTCCGCCAACTTTTTAATTCCAGATTAATATAAAAATTCTAAACATCAAAACTTAATAACTATACATAACCCAACATAGGTTTTAATCCCACATACTTTACATCTATCTACAGCAGTATATGTTTGTCAGTCATTCAGTCTAACATTGCAACACTAACACTATTTTATTCAAAGTAATAATTGCTTTTTTTAATTAAAAATATATTTACATACCCGTCAATACAGGTGGTATACGGATACTCATCGACTGACAAAGTCAGTATTATTCACTAAATCCTCTTTCCTATTAATGGGATATCACAGGATGGTTTATGCATTCAACTAATCTACAGCCGCCTACTGAGGTTTATCACAGTAACCAAGACGTCATGCCTATGATTCTAATAACAGGAGTAATCTGTATGGTAGTTTGCCCATCGACTTGCGCATTATAAGTGCTTTCCTTGACGTTAATTGCGCTTTAGCGAGTCTCGCCCTATTTCGCTGCGACAAGGTGAACACACATCAAGGGAGGCATGACTTTAGTCTTAATTTTGTTATAAATCGGTGATAAAAAAATGAGAACGAAATATGACGGTAAAAATAGTAATATATTCACTCGACGAGCAAAGGATGCGTGTCGAACGCGAGACAAGTACTTAAGAGGTGGTGTGGTGCGTCGCAGGTGAACGGCGTGGGCAAGTCCACGAACCTGGCGAAGGTGGCGTTCTGGCTGGCGGAGAACGGGCTGTCGGTGCTGCTGGCGGCCTGCGACACCTTCCGCGCCGGCGCCGTGGAGCAGCTGCGCACGCACGCGCGCCGCCTCGCCGCGCTGCACCCCGGCAAGGTCGCGCTCTACGAGAAGGGATACGGTACGCACGCGCTCTCATCGTCACCTAACATACTGTCGCGCACTCCTACTTTATCATTCTTAATAAAAATATATTATTCGGTCGCCTAATGCAGGCTAGCTGTATTCGGTGACATATCAGCTAAAATCGAAGATACTTGTATGGGTTTTTAATTTTTATACTTTATCTATCTATGACGACACATTTGATTCAGTTAGTAGAGGTAAAGTACTTAAAAGGTCACTTGTTCTGATTGAAATGATTGACCGGTTCGAGACCCGCTGAGGGCATTCACTTGTGTGAGCACGTATGTTCCTACCCGGTAGCCTCGTAGCTTACGTGTGCTAACGTGCCGTAACGTATCGGTGTGTCGCCAGGCAAGGACGCGGCGGGCATCGCGCGCGAGGCGGTGCGGCACGCGGCAGAGACGGCGCGCGACGTGGTGCTGGTGGACACGGCGGGCCGCATGCAGGACAACGAGCCGCTCATGCGCGCGCTCGCCAAGCTGGTGGCGCTCAACCGCCCCGACCTCGTGCTCTTCGTGGGCGAGGCGCTGGTCGGCAACGAGGCCGTCGACCAGCTCGTCAAGTTCGACCGCGCGCTGGCCGACCACGGCGACGGCGGCGACGGCGAGCGCGCGCCGCACCTCGTGGACGGCATCGTGCTCACCAAGTTCGACACGGTGGACGACCAGGTGGGCGCGGCCGTGTCCATGGCGTACGTGACGGGGCAGCCCGTGCTCTTCGTGGGCACCGGCCAGACCTACGCCGACCTCAAGGCGCTCAACGCGCCCGCCGTCGTGCGCGCGCTCATGAAGTAGCCCGCGCGCCGCCGCACCCTACACACCCGTGCACACCCATACACACCATACACGCGAGGAACTCGCATACGTTTTAAATAATTTTTTTAAAAATATTTACATTTCGATCGACGTTTTATACTCTGTGGTTTTGCGCTTTGCTAATCACAATCGGATATTTTATTGGCTAAACTTAATTTCAATAAAGTATTTACATTATACATACCATCTTATATTACTTTTTCGACTTTTTATACGTGCACTTTAAAAAAGGCTCTGAATAAATTACTTTTTCAATGGATTTAAAATTTTCTTTTAATTAATAAATTTTTGCATGAATATAACAAAATTTTTTGCGAAAGAATTATTAATACATATATTATATGGCAATAAATTAAAAATTTTTATTTTGGTATATTTTTTTTATATATTTTGGTATATTTGGTGAAGTGGTGATAGGTACTTATTTAAATAGTTTTTATACTCATCATATATTAGTTTCCACAATAAACTATATTTTACAATTAGCTTAACTTCCATTACTGTAGTAATTTCTATCTCAATATTATTTACCTTCATCATTTACTCTCTATAGTTACCATTTATCTAATATATCTCCGTGTAAAGTATAAGCAACGTCTCCGGCGCCGCGAAGCTGGTTTTTAGACGTAACGAGGACTCGAAAGTTAGCGAAAATATACACTTAGTGAAAGCGTAGGATTAATTTTACAGTGCCTTGTCCCAATATTTGAAGTTGTATGACGGCGAACACTTTGTGGTACTCCCGGTGTCATGGCCGCCGTTGTTCCTGTTTGATAACAAAATGGTACATTCGTAATTAAATTATACATTTGTTAGCTTCCTTCGTGGCTTCGTTGACTGTAAATGCTTATATTATCTGTGGAATGACACCGGGAGTCCCCGAGATGGAGCACCAACAAAACCGTTAGCAAATTTGTAAATGACACTGCCTTATCATGCGTTCTAATGAGATCACATTTAAAAAGAGTTAAATATATAATAATAATTATTATTTGTTATATTAAACATTATAATTACTTAGCATATTGTATATTCTGTAAGTTGTCAACGGCTCGTGTTCCGACGACTCCGACGGTGATCATTTTGTTTATTTTTCGTTACGTATTGAAATAAAAAATATTTTTACGAAATCAACATGTATTATTTATTCCTTTCGTTTCATCCTTTTTTAACTAAAACCTTTTATGTAAACTATAAAAGAATGCTTGTGTGTTTGTCGTGTATGCATGCGTGTTTGCAGTTATTGCTATTAATGTGGTGCGCGTCACGCGTGCTGTATTTAACAATTGCCTATATACAGGTTGGTCGTTGGTACGTTGACGTCCAAAAATAAAATTTAGGTCTCTCGTATCGTAGGGTATCCGAATCACCCCTTGTATGTTACGCGTCTTTTCATAGTTTATGAGTTATGAATTTTTTCTGAGTTTTTTAAAATTTTCGACCTGACGCAACTTAATAATTTTCAAAAAAAAATTGAAGACTCGAAATTTGATTTTTGATTTTAATTGAATCTTCATAAGTAGTACTTTTATGAATAAAATAATCAGCGTAACTAAAAGTTATAAAAATATTCTTCTTAACTGAAAAATTTACGTTCGGTTAATTATGACTTAAATTTTCAACTTTAAATAAAAATATCTAAACAAGTGACTTCATGGTTCCTAAGTACACTTAAGAATGCGCCAGATTCAGCTTTTACAATCATTAAAAAAAGTAGTACTTACAGGGCTACTTTTGCTATAATCAGCCTTCAACGACAGCGAGGTGGAAAATTCTTAAAACTAGCCACCTGATTAAAAATAAAAATTTTCAAAATCTATACTTATAATAAATCTGTAGAGAGGTCAATTCTGTACATGAAATATATTTCCAAAATAACTATCAGGGGGTGATTAGGGATCGATACTGATGCCAAAAATTCAATCAGTGAAATTTTTGTCTGTCTGTCTGTATAACCGTTATAGAAACAAAAACTACTCGACGGATTTTAACGAAACTTGTTATAATTATTTTTCATACTCCTGAGCTGGTTATAGTATACTTTTCATCACGCTACAATCAATAGGAGCAGAGCAGTGAAGGGAAATGTTGGGAAAACGGGAGAAGTTACTCCATTTTTTAAGCTTCCGTCGCGTGTGCAACCTTAATGGTTAAAGCTACATAGAAATCATGTGTGACGAAAATGTTGTCCTTAAAATTATATAAAAAATATCCCACGACAGCATATGTCTATCTTTTATGGTTGACTCACAATAACACGTGTAACTCCCGATAGATTAGCAGTTGGAAGCTTACTGATTTATATTTGTCTACTCTTACGTTTATAACACTCTCAGTCATCCCTAATTAAAAAAGTTAACATTATTAACTATTCCATAAAAAAGAATCATAGAAATCGGTATAGAAACACCAAAGTTATACATGAAATACACTAATAATAAGCCATCGCGCGTGAATACTGATTCATGTTTATATCTATTTAAAACGTACCTAGCGACGAATCCAAGCGAAGCGAGGGTGAGCCGCTAGTTAATAAATAAAGGAAAATTTAGGAAAAAAAATCTTCAAACTTACCTAGGGACGAACCTGAGCGAAGTGAGGGTGAGTCGTGAGTTATTAATATCGCAATATCAAACAATTCAAGATTTATTTATATCACTATAAAACTAATAAAACTTCCAGATATTCCTTGCATATATTCTTATATTCAATACTTTTGCAACATTACCTTATTTTTTTATAATGATAAGTAGGTACATTATGTCTGTCCGTGTGGAAGTTACTCCGGTTCGGATAGCAGTTCTACTGTGAAGAGCCGGCAGAAACTATAATTGCTCTTTTAAATAATATGTTACAAAATTTATAATACGTACTACTAATTTACAGTATTACAAGCACTTCACTATGTCAGGTGATACTGACATCTCTCGCTTTCTTCCCAAACGCGCGGGAAATAAAAAATAACCGCGCCCTTTTTTATTTTAAATACATTCCTATCAGCGAAGGTCTCATTAATAGATGCTTTATACATTACAAATTAGTCAAATATGTTAATTTCTTTCATTAAAACGCTCATATAGAATTGTTTACAAAATTAAAAAACCGACTACGTAAAAAGCGAACTATAAAGATGAAAACAAGTCGGAGACATAAATATGTATATTGTATAATATGTTTTATAATAGCTGCGTGTGTGTATGTCTCCGACTGCATATTTTTTTTATTTGATGCTTACAGCATTTCTCATTCCAAATTATTTTTGAAGATGCCGCCATGGCGCAAAAATGTGCTATTTTAATTTTTATTATTTTGATATACCCAGTGTCACTCAATTAAAACGAATCTCAAGCTAAAATCCATCAAGCCCTTTAGGCTACAGAGCGTGCTAAAGAAATATACACACATACATACACTCGAAAAATATAACCCTCCTTCTGGCGCAGTGGGGTAAAAGTGTAAACTTACATACATTACATACACTTACATGAAGTAACTTATACTGCAGCTGTATCGGTACAACCAATGAGTCATTTTTTATCGGCTGCTGGTATATTAATTTGGTATGAGCATAGTGCAGAGAAAGTCAAGTATATTATACAGCAAAAGTCATACATCTAACGGTCCTTACCAGCAATACAAGTCGCATTAGACTCCGACAATTTAATATTAAAGACTGACACCCATCAAGTATCGAACCCACTCCACGCAAAGTAGCTCCGACGCCACACAGCACTATGTACCATCGTTTATTACAACTCAGTGTGACATAAAAACTCAGCTGTTACAAATGATAATGAACGCGACAATTATAGCGTCGAATAAATTTATAATTAACCTTTTCAATTAGCGTTTCCTAATTATGGTGGATAGTTAGAAACTATTATTTCGGACATTTCACGCGAGCAGTGCGGCGGCGAGCGCGCGCGCCGACATGGACAAGGCCTACGAGTATGCGAAGTCCGCGGTGGTCAACTTCAAGCTGGACAGGTGTTGCTGCTTGGCGCCGGTACGCGTCGGCGTGCTCATTATAGGATACTTTAATTTATTTATAGCGGTGAGTTGTTGATTTAAGTCTTTATTTGAAATGGTATAAATCTCGTTGATATTACAAGACGGACGGACCTACCTGTTTAACTTCGAGCTGCAGTAAACTGTAACTTCACGCTGAAACGGCTGGAAGATTAGATGAAGTACACAGATGTCTGTGTACTCGTAACTCCTAAACGGCTCGACCGATTTTGATGATTTTCTTATGACCTGCATATGTTAACATAAGCTAATGTTAGAAATAAAAAGTTTTGTAAATGTATGTTGGCAGGTTTTATCTCTCATGGGCACGGCAGATGGCGGCATCACGCCTCCCTTGATGGAAGTGCAGGAAGCATTTTTAGAAGACAATGCGTCGAAGCCCGCCGGTATCCTGGCCTACTCCTCCGAGCTGGTGTTCAGCACCGTGCTGCTGTGTGCCATGTACCGCGTGAGTGACATATTAGGGACAATAGATCTTTGTTTAAAGTTATCAAATGCATCCACACATACAGGTGGTCATGTGGACACTCAGCGGCTGGAAAGCCTGTACTACCTATTGAATCTAACCGAAACTTCTCCGTTTTAAGGCGGCCCTCAGAATTATTCACGGTTGCTTACTGAGGCAGACCTCCTTCCTTCCTCCACAAGAATCATGGGATTGCTTCCACTGTCTACTCTGCTTTGAGAGAAGTACCAGGAGCAACCCGTCAATAATAGATGGCTATAGTCGTATGGCAATGAACATTAACATCCGATTTTAAAAATTTGTAGAAGTTTTATTTCATAAGTATGTGTTTTATTTCATAAATATGTGATGAGTGATGTATGATTATGAATACTTTGAAGCCATTAACAAGAAAATTGAATTAAATAAAAAAAATGCGAATGTTTGTTTGTTTATTGTGTGTTTGCTACTCCTTTCTATGACCTGGATTAAACGTAGGCTACTGGTAGACATCTACGCATCTAGAGAAGCGTGAGAGTAAGTCGCTAGTGATTTTAGTAGACATTATTTTGTATGTAAATATAGTAATGTATGAATATATATTTTCAGAATGACATAGTGTTGCTGCGGGCGTACGTGTACTACACGATAGTGGAGATCATAGCGGCGGTGCTTATCTACTCCATGGTCATCGTCGCGGTGTCGCTGCTCACCAAAATGGTTATCATCGGGAACATCGGTAACACTTGGAATATTTTTTGTATAATTTCTGCAACCGTGTTGATGGTAATAATGTCTTATACAATACATACCAAATATATGTAGTGTATACTTATCTTTTTCCAGTAGTCCCCAAATACTATTTGAAAAAAGATAACTAACAGAAGTCTGTTGTCTATGTTTTTTCAAAAATGAGCAAGAACTTACTCATTTTCGTATTTTTAACATGGATAGGTACATACAATATATTTATACACTTATTTTCTCACTTTTAACCTACTCTATCTACATATATATTAAACGATGAGCTTATATAGATGAAATGATCTATAATTCCTGATCGAAGGCTTAACTCGAATCAGTTCTCAGTGTAACATCTGTAAGAACAGTATGATGTAATTTCTTTAAATATTTCCCCAGTATTCAACGGCTACGTGATACTGCTAGTGAGGAGCGCCATCGTGGAGATCAAGGAGAGCACTAGCAACGAGCAGAACGGCCACGTGGTGCTGTACTCCGTGGTCAAAACACCTTCTGAGGAGGAAAAGTCCAGTCTATCTAAAGACAAGGTGGTCCTGGACGCGGAGGCTGTGGGAGATGAGAAGAAGGAACCTCAGGAGATAAAACCTGACGAAAAACCAGCGCAAGTGCCGGCTACATTGGAAACTGTATCGGAAAACCGTAAAGAAGAATAATACTAGCTTTAAATTATTTGTTGAGTCGAATTATTGATAATTGTATTGCGAGTGCATTTTTTAAATAAAATTTTCAAATGTTGTACTTTTTAATGTAGGTATTATTGCGGACATACATCAAGTAAAGTTCGAAAGCATTTTTAAAAGAGGGCAGAGAGAGTGACAAAGTACCTTTTTGGAACGAAGTTTGTTATAGTAGTCAAATATCGCGTAAATTCTTTAAAGTATTACATATTTTTATATTGATGACTAGCGCCTTACCATCGCTTCGCTCGGGTTCGCCTCTAGAAAAGCACAAACAGATCTATCCCCCGAGAACCGTTCATTTTCCGGGATAAAAAGTAAACTGTTCTTTGACCGGCAATATAAGATATCAGCATGTCAAATTTTACTAAATTAAGTGAATAAGTTGATTTGTACTAAGCTCTATAAGTTACTATAGTTTTTTAACTATCCCACGGAAACTTTTTAATTATCCGGGATGAAAAGTATCTAAAATGTTGATCGGGGATATAAGGTACTACTATGCAAAATTTCATTTAAATCAACCCAACAGTTTCTGAGATTAGCCCGTACAAACAAACAGATAGAGAAACCAAATTTAAAAAAAACTGAATTCGTTCTATTTCACTTCTTACAGTTGGCTCGGTTTTTAGCATTTTTTTCTATGTAATGACATTCGACCTCTACTGTTTTATTATAATATGTATAGGAAGCTTGCTTCCCAATACAAACTTTCATCCCCATTTACACCCCCTTAAGGGATGATTTCCGGGATAAAAAGTAAAGTCTCGACCTATCTTCTTATCAAAATTCATCTAAATCGGTTTTGTAGATCAAGAGATTACCTCCTACAACGTCACAAACTCACGAACTTTACCTCTCTATAATATTAGTATAGATGATGAATGTATTGAGTGTGATGATCATGAGTCGGGGGACGGTTTTAGGGTAGACGGGTTTAATTAACCACGAGATGACATGATTTAACTCCGAAACCGTTCGCCATAAAAATTAGTATTTCCTCACAACCCTTGCTTTTGGCGGGACAGCGATATACTGTATAGGTTTTTATACTGTGGTAGTACCTACATATTATTATAATATCACTAGCGATGTGTTGAAATAAAAACGATAAGTGCGATTGCAACAGTAATGTATTTCAATGAACAAATTGACACAAATGAGATTATAGTCTTATGTTTAGGCTCAACAGTGAGGTCGCGCAACAACAAGTGTGCGACAGACTGCTTACACATACACTACAAGAAAACAACAAATCATAAACAATTTAACAATATCATAATTAACATTTATTTTAATACAAATCGAAAAATAAAGTGCTAACTAAAATTAAACTAAACTCGAAATGAAATTAGATATTTTATATACCAATAAACTTTTTGTTATATAAAAATACAAATGATGATAATTGAATAAGATATTTATAAAACAGTCAAAAGGAAGAAAACTAAAACCTTTCCACATACCACTTGGTAACTCCACAGCAGCACCAACACTCTAAAATAGATGTTACCGTTCAATAACTTTATATCGACAAATGAAAAGATATCGATATATAGTTGATATCGATATAAATGTTATATTTTCAGAAAAGTTATAATTACTATATTATACTTTTTTTAGAACCTTAGGTCCGAGCCACAGCTCCTTATATCACATCGATTTAATATTTAATCCCTGCACGACCGCGGACAAGCCGGCGTTACAGTTAATAGATTTCTTAGAAATTTAATTAATTTCTTTCAAATTTACCTGGAGGTGTTAAATATAAAATAGATGTAACTTATAATCGACCGATATTCGTATTTTTTTTAACGTAACGTACATATAAGTAGTTAACCCGGTGGTGTAGTGGCTAGCATATACAGCCGCAGATCTGGAGGTCCTGGGTTCGAGTCCCGGGTCGGGTCACGTTTAATTAGATTTTCTATTAAGATATTATCAGTAACAGCCCGGAGCAGGGAAGTCTCGGCTCTCACGGCGAGTGACAGGGACAGAGTGCACTTGTGTATCTCTCTCCCTCATCGTCATGTGAGAGGAGACTGACCGCCGCGGCCGACATCGGTCGGGAAATATCTAAATTTTGTGGCCGTATTTTACAATCTATATGAATAGTAAAAATCATCGAATAAACATCATATTTGTGAAACTTAAAAAATAAAGTCATTTTTTTTCACTTAAGCTTAACCAAAGTTTTAACAGAAAAACTTGTCATAAAAACAATAGTAGTATAATAAAAATACATTTCTTGCTTTCAATCAACAAGATTTAAATGAAAAAATATTCTTATTATAATTATAAAAACCAAAATTATTTTTCTTAACAAAAACTGTGTTTGAGATCAACCGGCGACATTCGCCGTAGAAATCGAAGTCAGAATAGAACACAACATCAATAGACTGTAGTGGCAAAATGGTAAGTGATAAGCGAAATGCGCCTTTAAGCTATCAAAGAGCTCTTTTATTACTATGACCATGAAGTCAGATATTACAAAGTACATACATTAATTTGCTTATCAACTTAGCATTTCCCCTCTGTGGGGTCATATCTATGTAAAGACATATATATATATATATATATATATATATATATATATATATATATATATATATATATATTAATGGCTAACAAATTCACTATTTAAGAGATTTAGATTAAAATACCCACTGACTCTAAAACTTCATAGAGTTGTAATTATTAAGTGAACACTGTTTACTTGCTGTAATTTTTTTTATTTTATCTATTACATAAGTCACCATCAGATTATACATACATTTTTATAGTAGTGTAGCATGATATAATAAAAGAAAGACTTAAACGATGCCCCAATCATAAGCAACACTGCATTCCAATTAGACAACAACATATTAATTAGATAATAATATTTTATATTAAGAAGCAAAAATAAAATTAAAATAAAAGTGACCAGTACGTAAGTACATACAAAAACAAAGATTAGTTCTGAAACCAACCTCCAGGGAATCTGTTCACCGCAAATAGTTACATACTTATACAGACATAAAGTAGCATGTAGAAGTCATAAGTCACATCGAGATGTCATCGTAAGCTACAACTGTCGGCAGACGCGCGCGGCTCCGGCCGCATCTACTTCTTGCCGCGGCCGCGGCCGGCGCCGCCGCGACCTGCAATGAAATAATAACATTTAAATTATATTCTAAAGGCTTAATGAATAGAATCCATACTTAAAATTATAAATATGAAAGTGTTTTTGTTTGTTTGTTCCTCTTTAACATCGAAACAGAGTGACAGTTGGCGTATTTTTTTTGTATGGAGATAGTTTGAGGGATGGAGAGTGATATAGGCCACTTTTTACCGCGGGAGAATACCTCATTCCCACGGGAAAAGACGTTATAATACAACCGACCACAAATCATCATACGTCCATACGTATGATGATTTGTGGTGGGTTGTATTATAACGTATATGGATAGACTCCATAGTCTATCCATTCCATACTAACCGTTAAACCGTACTTAGGGACGAACCCCAGCGAAGCGAGGGTGAGTCGCTAGTAATAATATAAAAAAAAATTAAAATTTTCTAATCCTTATCATGAACACTGCGGCCGGACCGTTAGTTATTTATTACCCGGATGATGCGTTTTGTTCGAAAACTAGTAAATTTGGAAAATTCAGAAAATTTATTTTACGAAATTATATAATTCTACAAATGTAATTCAAAATATAGGTATGTAATTGTTATATATTTTGATTCAAAGCAAGCTGTGTTATCCATATAAGAGATAAGAAATAGTTATACAAATCCATATGGATTTATTATTGATGTTAATGTAAAATTAAAGAAACAACAAATATCTTATATTGTGTTGTATGTTGTGTGTCCTTTTTATAAAAATCTTCCAAACAAAGGAGAGTGCAACAATTGGTTTGTAAAGTTTGTGCATTGTCTGTAGTGAGATCGCTGGACGGATTTGGATGTAACTTAGTATACACATAGACTAAGACCTAAAAGAATACAAGTTACCGTGGGACGGCACCCGAGCGCAGCGAGGGTAAGTTGCTTGTGCTATAAATTGGTTGCTGGCTGTTGGCTGGACAGATTTAGATGAAATTAGATACGTTATCCTCTTGAATAACATATTTGCATTTCCGCATTCGTTAAGACGAAGCAAGGGAAAGTCGCTAGTTATAAAACAATTTAGTTGGCAGTGTGCGTGTGTGCGTGCGTGCGTGTGTGTGTGTGTGTGTGCGTACGCACCGCGCGCGCCGAGCGCGGGGAAGTCCTCGTCGGTGAGGTCGGGCGCCACGCGGATGCGCTGCGAGTCTGCGGGCGGAGACGATATATATACATATGTATAAACAATTTTGATCATTCTATTACATCTACTGCATAGCTTAGAAACTGAACTTTTTAAATATTAATAAACATTTTTATTAAGTCCTAATCAGAATTACTGCGGTGTATAATCAAAAGAGCAATTTTTTTAGCATTACACAATATTTTATTACAAGTCAAATTTTAGAATTCATGTTTTTATCGATTTACAAGACTTGCTAAAACAGACACAAATATTTAAAGTACAAGTAACTCACAGTCCGTCTTGGGCATGCGCTGCGGCACGTGCACCCTCTGCTCCCTCTTAGATACTGCAATTGTAGTGCACAATGTTATTACTATAGTGTTACTATTAATTATATAAAAATAAAATATAGCTTATAAATTTTTCTAACAAAAAATTCACAAATTTCTAATTTGTATTTACAAATTTTAATAAAAAAATAAATAGCAATATTACACCCTTTATAATATTTTTTCTAATTTATGACTAAATAACTTAATGTATAGAATTAGCGAATCATTGCGATGTGAACAATGCAACATATAATGTCAACAATTACTGAACTTTTATATGCATTGAAAATAGTATAATTACTTTTCAAGACAATAGGTTTATGAAGTTCAAAATTTGTAACTTTAAATGAAATTGCAATTAATATAACTTTACACATCCATTAAAAAAGTAATATATTTTATAATCGATTAACAATTATGGACACATCGTCTAACATACAAACAAAAATACATTCTCCTCATTCTTGTTTTGAAAATCCATTCAAATAATGAGTTAATTAACAGAGCTTGAAACTATTTTTCCATATTTTGTCGTGGTTGTGTATGTAAATAAAACCTTAAAAGGATTCGAAACGTCGCGTCGCTAACAAAAATACAAAGTAAAATTGCGACAATTCCGAAAAGATAGTTTCATGCAATATTTACCGAGCAATAATATTTCTTTTGTTAATCGACTTGTGATACTCACGATACAGGCTTGACCTATAGTGTGTACATCTATGCATATAATAAAATTGTAACTAAGCTGAATCTGTACATTAAATATTTTTTGGAAAATCTTAGTGAAATAGACATTATTATCGATACAGAGGCCGAATCTATAGATTTTAGATTTTTTGTCTGTCTGTCTGTTACCACATCACGGAAAAACCACTGAAGGGATTTTGATGAAATTTGGTATGATCATAGCTGGTTATCCGGGTCAACATATAGGATACTTTTTACTGCGGGAAAATATTTCATCTCTGAGAAATCGATAATAAATGTTGAAACGTAAGTAGGGATGAACCCGAGTCGCTAGTTTGATATAAAACATATTATTATAAACTATACTTTTTTTGGTAATAGGTACAGACTATTATTATTATTTAAAATGTAAAATATTGGCATAAATCGTAAGTCAGTATCAGTATGAAGGGGGGCGAGGAGGCGACTCACTGTCGAGCGCGCCGAGGCTGCTGTTGGCCGACTCCAGGCAGTCCACCATCGACGAGTTGCACGACGCTGGCGGCTGCGGCCGAAACATTTATATTTTTAAAGCATTATAATGTCATGTGTGTGTAATTAGTTTTTTTAAGGAAGTTAAGGAACTTAACTGGGCTTGTGGTACGACGTGAAGCTCGGCGACTATAAGGAGGTCCGTAAGCACTCTTTGACGGGACCCTACATATATAATGAGCGCTCTTTGAGGTTCGTAGTGCCCTAGTCGTGACAAAAGTACCAGGCGATCATAAGTGTTGAGGGGTTTATATTGTAAGAAATTCGTGTTCACTTTGTGCAGATTTTTCCTCCATGAACTTCAATATGTAAATTATAATATATTGTACGTTGCTCGATGTGCATGCTAGCCTGGTACTCGTGACAATATGTATGAGCCGGGGGCAGACAGTGAAAGGCACTTCGTTTCTACAGGGTATCCCACAACACTGACCTATTTTTAGGGTTCCTTACCTCAAAAGGTAAAAAAAGGAACCCTTATAAGATCACTTTCTTGTCAGTCTGTCTGTCTCTCTGTGTGTCCGTGTATCACCACCCATTTTCAGGAACGGGTTGACCTAGTTAGTTGAAATTTATAGCAGATACTGAGGTCTATAGTCCCCTATTTGGTGTATAAAAATCACGATCCTGAGTTAACACGATAAAAAGATACGGGCAAATTTGAATTTTCGCGAAAATTTGTAAGTACCAAAATTTACCTTAATTTTCAACTTTTTTTTAATTTTTTCGAAATGTTCCTTTTATTTGTGCTGTAAGACTTTGCTTTTAAATTGACAATTCTATGTCAATCGGATGGTAGTTCCCGTTGACCTAGAATCACGAAATTTGGCAAAAAGCAAGACCTTACAGCAGAAATAAAGGAAAAATTCTAAAAAATAAAAAAAAGTAGAATATTAAAATTGAACAGATTTCCTAGAAATGAGTGCGGAACCGTCGGTGGGCGACGTAGTAAATGTGAGTCGGGACCGACCGCGTGCAGCGTGGCGGCGGGCGGCGGCGCGCGGCCCTCGCGGTAGCGCTCGAGCGCGGGCAGGTGATAGTCGCGCGGCAGGTGGCGGCCGGGCACGGGCTGCCGCGCCGCCACGTCCAGCACGCCGTACGCGCCGCGCCGTACGCGCGCCTGGCTGCACTCCGTGAGGCGGTCGCGCCCCTCGTGGTACTGCACACAGAAGCACACGTCTTCTACCGCAGACTGTTCTGAGATCTCATGTAAAACCGACTCGGTTCATTTATTCGGTACATGTTTATGAAAGCATCCATTCGACAACTTTGTCATAAATAGCTACATAATTAGTTGAGTGACAACATTTATAACGACCGTATCGATATTAGATATGTTTGTTTCTTTAATAGAATGACTCGATAACCCAGATAACTAAAGAGAGTTATTTTATATAAAGTAAACGAGAATGTTCAAGTATAAAGCCGACAGAATTAACATGACACCTCGCTCGATCTCGACACTTCCCCCGCAGGGCCTCGTGACCCCCCCCCCCTCCCCGTCACCAATCTCTTGAAGAAATTATTGCTCTTCAGAAAGTGAAAGTTAACAAAATGACCATTGTCATTATATTTAGAATATAAGAAATTAATGAAAGTGACGATTTAGCGTAATAGAAAAAATATAACGTTTTAATTAAAATAAATAAATAAACCCAATACCAAAATACGAATAACTATTTATTTTTGTTTTATTTCCATATAAATCGAACGACAACTACAAGTTACTACCTAAAACCGATACATCTAAGTAATTTAAGGCGATTAGTACCCTCAAGGGTAAACAAAGAGCTACTTTCTAAAGCGTACTTCTCGTTTATGGCTTGACCGAAATGCTTGAAAAAAATATATGTGAATCATCAACTCTTAAACAATATTTTCATTAAAACATTTTTTTCGTGGGACGAAAATATCTATTACTTTTTTATTTCAAAGAAATGGTATTTTTTTGACTTGCCTTTCGTACTGTTTCTAAACGGCTAAGAATTTTGGAATCATTTAAATACTAAAAAATAATATATCTATTTTACTTTATGCCTATTAAAATAAATTGTAAATCAATTACTATTTTCCTATTTTAAAAGTCGAAAATGCTATTTACAAGCCTAGAAGCTATAGAGGTGCTCTGCGCGGGCGCGCGCGGCAGTCGCGCGCTAGCGCTCAGACGGGAGGGCTGTGTCACTTTTTGTCTCCTGGTATTTTACGATGTATTTATGCATGTATTGTTCATGTACACAAGAATTTTTGTTTGTGTGCGTGCATAGAATAATCGCTCGCAGACAGATAAATGTGTAGTAAGGTACGCGCTTGGACGCTGTAGAATCTTTTAACTAGTTTAATGTAAAAATTAAGTTCTATGAAGGTATAGTTATTGTTATTTTTATCTATACATATAATAAAATTGTAACTAAGCCAAATCTGTATATTCAATATTTTTTGGAAAATCTTATTGAAATAAACATTATTATCGATACAGAGGCCGAATTTATAGTTTTTAAAATTTTTGTCTGTCTGTTGCCGCATCACGGGAAAACCACTGGATAGATTTTGATGAAATTTGGTATGATGATAGCTGGTTATCCGGGTAAACATATAGGATACTTTTTACCGCGGGATAATGCCAGTAGTTTAATTTCATCTGCCTACCTGAGTTTATTTCCAGTTTTGTGATTTCAAATATTATATTTTTTATTTCAAAAATATTATTAGTAGATTTAATTTAAAAATCTCTTTGGTGGTTGTTGAGTGACGAGAAAGCACAAATAAAAGATTACGTCACTAATAAAATTATAATGAAAAATTCAACACACACTTAAAAACAGTACAGAAGGAAAGTTTAGGGAAATACACAATGTGCACAAAGAGTTTCAGTACAAACATAAAAAGTCCACATACAATATCTTACGAAAATGATTAAATTATATTAAACAAAGTAACAAGTAATTGGCATCGAACGGCAAAGCATAGACTATTTGTTAGTAAAAAGTTACAAGTGGCCGGTAGGAGTAAAACAAATTCCGATCTTCCGCATACTACGGTTTCGCGCGGCTATGCTTGTGGATTTAATATATATGAATAATTAATAAATATAAATATTATAATATATTGAATGGAAAGTTTAATATATAAATATGATAACTTAAATATATTATAGTATAAGTCACCTACAATCTCAAACTTATAAGGGACACATACCACCCTTATAAATTTGAGATTGAAAAATATTTGCGCCTCGACTAAGACGTACGCAAAGCTTTATTGTTAAATTTAATAGTATACAAAATCCGCATTTGGATAAAAAGTTTAGTTAAAAATACTTTATTTTTTGAAATAAAAATAATTTAAAATTAAAATAATTTAATTCCAGATTACAAAATTATTAGTTTAAAAAATGATAAGTTAATAAATAGTCACTAACCAAAAATTGAAGTTAAATTAAATATAATCAAATAAGTTGTAAATATGATCTGTTAAAATACAATGTTAAAAAATAATTATTAAGAGTAATCATAATTTAAAATTATAGATAAGCATGTATAGAATAAATAAAGTTTTATTATTATTATTATTATTTCTTTTGCATTATTCCACGCAAAATATTATATTCGATAATTTCGCACGCTCGGATATAAGCATCGTGTTCAAGCGGCCAAGGTGCAAGATCATCAATCTCAGGGGCCCAGGTTCGAATCTCAGTCGGATACAAAGTTTTACTTTTATTTTAATTTTTCATATTTATTCAAGTATTTAGTTTTTTAAAAAAAAAGACGCAAGATTGACAATCATAGGTGTCCAGGTTAGAATCCCGGTCGGATACAAAGGTGTATATATATATTTTTTTTGTATTTATTCAAGTTTTTAGTTTTTTTTAAAGAAAATTGTACTTTGTAACCAAAAACTCCGAGCGAAGCTCGGTGGCCCAGGTACTATATGGTAAAGTAACATAATATTGTTATTTAACTTTTTCATAATACTTATTTAGTGATTTGTTTTATTTTGTTTTAATAAATATAACTATAATATTTATTTTTAAATAATAAATAAATTTAAAAAAATAAATTATATTAATTATAAAATTGAATACTTTTCGAGGTTACTTGTAAGACATAAATAACAAAAGTTAAATACGACAAAAAGTAACAAAGTAAATATTATAACAAAAATAACAAAGGAGTATGAAATTTTTTACTCGAGTGTTTTGTGTGCATGTACAGACGTGTCACGCACACTACACTGGACGAGCTCTCGGGCGCTGCGGGTGTGACCCGCCACTCCCGCGCGCCTCGCTCGTTACCGTTTCCTTCTGCGCAGCGGCTCCCGCCAATTCAGAATAGCCAAAAAGTTTGGCGAGGATTCTACCATGAAATGCATTTACGCATATAAGAAAATAAAAGAAATAATAAAAATGTTTATTAAATCTATACTAATACTAGCATTGCCCGCGGCTCCGCCCGCGTTTAGATGACCAAAAACCAAATTCTTTGGTTTTACATATTATATATATATATATATATATTATATATATATATATATATATATAAGAATATACTGAATTATATATACAAAATAATAAATATAATAAATTATATATAATTAATTATATTACTTATATAATACTATAATTCTAGCATTGCATCTTTTTGACTCTTTCTGATTGTATCGCTCGTAGGCAGTAATCTATCCCGTGGCTTGTTTGATGAACTAGCGCGTGGATTTTTTTGATGCTTTTTGCGGGGTGCGCGGGTGCAGTGCGCTAAGCCCCGCCCAGACACGCAAGGCCATCGGGGACACTAATCGCCTTAATAATATGCATGCATAAGTTAAAATAAAAACTCTTTAACAAAAAAATAAAAACAGACTTTGCTTAGTGCTTTTTTTTAAGTCCGTTTTTATTTTTTTGTTAAAAAGTTTTTGTTTTTCCCTTTTTAGTGTAGACATAGTAGCAGAAAAGTGAGAAGAAAGTATTTTAATAAAATATTCGCTTAAACCGTAAAGTTACTTTGATGCTAATTATAATGTGAAGAGTGACAAACTAAAATTCACTTTTATTAGTAACACTAAAAATTCTGGCTTTAAAATCCGATTCTAATGTGTTAGGCTTGTCAAATCAAACAAAATAAGCCCAAACTCAAAGTATCTATTAGCCGTTGTAGAGTTCCACCTATCCACCTTCTGGTCTTACGTCAGATCCGGTCAACGATACCGAAATACTGTACTATCAACAGAAATAGACACACTTGCAAAGTTTCAAGTCAATATGACAATTAGAAGTAGTTAAAATTAATGATTAGCTATTTTTCAACCCTTAGGGGTGATATTTGTTTTTGAAATTTAAATGGGATCAATTTGGAAGTATACACAACAAAGAAACAAAGTTGTCTAAATCGGTTAATAAATGACGGAGTTCTGAGGTAACAAACAAAAAAAACATGCAGCCGAATTAAGAACCTCCTCCTTTTTGAGGAAGTCGGCTGAAAATTAAATAGTATTAGTTTTCGTACGAGAAAGTGAAATGGAAACAAAAACTTTTTTGCACACTGTACATTGCGCAGACGTCATTCGAGCCAGGTGTCATATTGATTCACCCGAGTTTTATAAATGGCGCTATGAGCAAGTTGAAATGTTATGTGTGACAGATACACAAGCCAAAAGTCACAAAACATGTTTACAATATCGTCGGTGTTACTCGCGCGGTACCACATTATAAATAAAGGAGAGGGATAGAACAGGAAGAGAAGAGATAGATGACTAATGGCCGATTTCACCAACGTCACCTAAGTTTAAGGGTTAGGGGGCAAAGCATGGTAAGGGGGCCGTTTCTGTTTCACCGACAGTTAGGGGTCACCTAAATGTTAAAATGCCACCTAAATATAGGTACTAGCAATACTGGCTCTGACGATGGTAAAACAAAATTTAATTTAGGAACTTTTAAGCTAGGGATCCCATACGTAGGTGGTAGCTTATGGGATGTTGGTGAAATCGGGCACAAATCTCCAGCAAACTCTCATTAAACAAAATATAAAAGTTTATATGATGTACATCAACACTCTGTAAAATGGTAAGATTTCCCCAAAATGGCCCGTTTATGTTAATACTCATAACGGCCTACCAGCTAACCTAACCTACTACATTATACATAGATCTTTTTACCCTAAGACACATGATGAGTAAAGACCATGACAAACCTCACAAGCGATGCCCGGGGTGTACTTGAAGGTGTCCTTCTTGAGGTGCAGGGTGGCGAGGCTCTCTTTAGGGAAGCCCTCGTCGGACTCCGCCTTCAGCGCGTTCACGAGCGTGAATAACAGCGTGTCCAGCTTGTACACGCGGAACAGTGTCTCGTCCTCCCCTGGGGAATGCATGGTTTTTTTAATAAGTATACAGGCACCATTGCTTGGTTTTTAGAGTGTTGTGCTATTTTGTAGTAATTTTTTTTTTCGTTATAAAAATTTTGAAAGGTTGAAAATCTCGCGTTCGAATCATGAAAAGAGAGAATAATACAAGTTAGATGAGCCCTCATAGTTACTATTTGGAGCTTTGAGAGCAGTTTTTTTACGAGTTGGTGATGGACTCTCAGGTCTTGTGTGAGATGCTAATATTTGCCGCAGCAGCTTCCCGATTGCCTCTCCGGGAATTACATGTTATTAAAATACTACGAAAATTATAAACGCGAAAATTTATGACGATGTATGGATGTTACTACTGTTTTTGTTTTTATGCAAAAACTACTTACTTTAGAGTAATATACCTTACAAATATTTGTTTCCACTTACAAATTTTTATCCCCATTTTAACCTCTTTAAGATGTAATTTCCAGAATTAAAAGTATCCAATGTCCTTCCCAGGGTCTCAAACTATCTTAACTCATTTCATCTAAATCAGTTTAGTAGATCCAGAGATTACCTCCTACAACGTCACAAACTTACAAACTTTAACTTTTTATAATATTAGTATAAATACATCAGAGTAATACATAAGCTATATTTTATTAAGATGTAGCAGTAAATAAATGATCTGCGGAGGCGGAGTCGCGGCCTAATGCTAGCTGTACATAACTAGACAAAAGAGATTTACATAAAGTAAAATACTGTCACATCTTGTAAGTCAGATTTAAATCTGTATACATAGTTATCTTTTTATTATATAAAACAAGCGAGTGACCTCACCAAAATAAATTTATTTTTTATGTACATATAAAACTATAAACTATGTAAAAACTAGTCAAATAATTGCTTAATTTGTAACTTAACCATGTGTAGTTAAATGAATAGATTTGCTTGCACTTGGCACACATGTATTATCATTATGTATGATGAGTACTTTCATCTTAGATTAACCAACAATTTTGTTACCCTTTTGTTCAGATGATATACTTAACAGTAAAAATGCACCTAAGGCGGCACCTGAGCATAGCAATGTCACGTCTCTAATTGAAATGTAAAAATTATTCCTAAAATAATAATCAAATCAGTATCATGTAAAAACAGAAACTTACCTGCCCGTTGGCACATTTGCAGTATAAAATTCTGAACTTGCTGTACTTTCTCTGGTAATGCAAATATTGGTGGAAGCACATTAGTTTTGTGATCTTGTAGTTTCAAGTAATCCACAATGTTGGCAAGGATCTGCATGTAGTTACTTCGTGGAACGTTTTCATCATGAATTTCCAAGCCAAATTCTTCAGATCCTAACATCATCTGATATGTATAACCTATTGGCGGGGGACCTACAACAAAAACATCATGTTATGTTGTCATGAAATCTGTATTTCTAATCAAAATAAAATCTAAGAAATAAAAGTTTTGAAGTAAGCCAACTCCCAAGTGACCAGTTTGGTAGACAATGGTGTAAATCTCTTGAAAACTCTTGGCATAAGCCAAGTAGTGAGACATTCATAAGCCTGAATAATTATTGAATTCTTAAAGTTCTATTATCCAATATGTACATATATGTATATGATTTTACCAAAATTCCAACTTTAACAAAAAAAAACATGAACAGGAAAAACCAAACAACTGTATATTCATTTTCATAAACTTATATTTAGTGTTTGTTTATATAAGAAACTTACCTGGATTAATTATTTCATGGTATGTTTCCTTAATGCCATCCTTTATATTAAAGCGTAGAAGAGTAAATTCACCGACTATATAATTCTGTTCTATTTTACAGTAGCAATTCACATCCATCAAATATATATCCATGGTTATAAGACCTATAGATTATAAAAACAAATTTTATTCCAAAAAATTATTATATTATACTAATTACATGAATGGTTAATTGAATAATAATAAAAATATTACTATTATTGACAACTCTAGAGTTGACCAAGTTCTTGATGTCTTTTCTTTCTAATTCTTTATATTCCAGTTCCTCTTTTTCAGCATTTTCTATCATGCTGATAGGAATGCCAGTTGATGTGTACTTTTTTTCAGCATTTTTCAATTTTTGTTTTTGTTTTTGAACCATGTTGTCATACTTTGCCTTCTCTGACCGTGAAAGATCCTAGTCATAGATAAAATGCATATTATATAAAGAGACTGATATTTTCCTTCTGCTCAATATATTATGTTATATTTAAACACTAGCATTGCCTGTGGCTCCGCCTGCGTTCAGGTGACCAAAAACCAAATTCATATATACAGCCTCTGTATTGATTATGTCAATTTCAATAATATTTTCCAAAAAATATTTAATGTACAGTTTTGACTCAGTATTTTATTATATGTAAAGATGTTTTAATAAATAATGATAAAGTGAAAGATCTGAGACCAAATATTTAGGCATCTCCAAATATCTTTTTTGGATGTTATAATTTTCAGCGCTTTATTATAAATACTCTAGCAAAACCAACACATAGACTCAAGTTTAGCAAAAACGTTTTACAAATAATAAGATACTATAGAAACTTTCCTAGCGAATTAAATATAAGATAGAAATAAAATAAACAAATTTAAACAAAGACAAACTTAAAAAGTATTATTGAAGGGTGTATACTATATTATGAGTAAATAGTTTGGTGTAAAATTACCCGCCACACGGGATCGGCTGCGTTAATAGCTTCGTTTATGTTATTAAAAATTATGCCCTTTTTCTTCTGTTCTTCTTTAAAATCCGATAGAAAGAACATGAAGGCATTTTTTGCTCCTTTTTTATTAGACATTATAGAACGGTAAAAACTAAAAAATTTTAAATTTATCGAGCAAGTTTGACTATTGAGTAGTTATTAGTTAAACCAAAGTCAAAAAGTTTTCTCTCGTCGACGGTCCATTTGACTTGTCAAAAATACAAATCCATTCCCGGCTTAGGCATATAATGTGACAATCAGTATATATCTATTATCTATACTCTTTGGTGACAATAGTAATTTAGTTGCCAGCTTACCACTTAGCACAATTAAATAAGAAAATGGCACTTAGCACCTTGTTGTTCCTAGTCTGTGCTTAGCACGAAATCGAACGTTATTGATTTATCGATTTTCCTAAAAAATAACTTCTCCACCCGAGCTTTAACCGGGTCCCGGTTAAATTCATAGAGTTAGCATAGGAATGACATAAAATGCATTTAATTTTGAAAGAAGCGGAGATCAACATTTTGGTATATTTCATTATATATATTTGGTATATATCGTTTTTTTAATTTTTTGTGAAAAGCTGTATTAGAAATAATAATTCAATGATATAAATACATATATTATAAATTACAGCCTCATTGGGTTATTATTATATCTTTAAAGTGGGTAACATTTTTCAGTAATAACTATAGTCTGTTTTTTAATCTCAGAGACAAAACTGACATTGCGTGGGTTGTCAGATTTTTGCAATTCTTAAATAGCGATTTCCACTAAATAGTACTAATAAAATCAAGTATCGGTTTTTATAGTATGTTATCCTGAAATAATGTGTAGGTACCTATTTAAAACGTAATAATAGAAATTTTATGATGAAAATTTAAATTTAATCATGTGAATTTTAATGATACTTAATGATTTAAAAAAAATGATATTTAAATTAATAACTGAGGAGCTTCTTTTCAAAACTTGACTATTCCACTTTTGATGAAACTTATCTTTTTTATTATTTGTTTGGTAACATTCAAATTTACTCTCCGCGAAAATAAAATTGGCCCAAAACTTGATATTTAAATATGTCAGGACATTAACACACAACACCATCTAGTTCCATGGTAAGCTACGAGGCCTGTGTTATGGATACCACATAGTTGATACGTTATACATATATAACTTTAAATATATACATATTATAAATATAAACATTCATGCTCATTACACAAATGAATGATGCCTCCAGCGGGACTCGAGTCGAGTCGAGTCGGGTCACTACAAACTGAGCCAAAAATGTCGTCAACCAAATTTAAACCAGAAAAAAAGATTAAAAGACATATTTTCGTCAAAAATAGATTATTCCACGTCAAAATGACATTATCTATTTCAAATACACATTTTTGGAACAAAATGTGATTAATCCAGAATTTATTTAACTATTTTAATATAAATTGCAACAAAATAAAAGATACCAGGAATCCTTTATGAAAAAGGAGATTTCTGATACCTAATTAGTTTCAGCAAAACAAGATTAATCCACAGTGGTTTGAATAAAAAAATGATTATTCCTCTAGAGCATATAACAAAACTTGATTATTCCAATCAGCCGCGTCAAAAAATTTAGTATTCCATTTCAATTTTTAGATTTATTCAAAACATATTATTGCTAAAAAAAATTGAATTCTGTACAAAGCAATGACTATTGTTGTCGTCTGCAATAATGCATCAAAATCGGGTTAAAAACATAGGTACATAACTACACAACTATTTTCTCAGATTGTGAAAGAACACAAAAAGTGGAATAGTCAAGTTTTGCAAAGAACCTCCTCAACTAAGATATTAATGATCTAAAATTATGTGAATTTTAACAATACGCTTTGGAATACAAAAGTCTTACAAAGATACGATTCAACAAACCGGTATCGTAGGTACAACACTGCACAAAAGAGCTGGCGGCCTTAGAGAATACTTAAGCTAAATATATATTACTGTTGGCAGCATTATTTGTAAATTTGACATTTGCATCATGCATGTAAGTTTAGTCTCCGAGATTAAAAAACAGAATGAAGAAGTCTATGGCATTGCGATTGACGTGACATGGGACGACAGGCACACCGACACCATAATCTGTGACTGTACGACAGGAATGAGGAATGTCGATTGTCGAACATATTGAATTGACGGATCGCGTTATGATGGTGTAAAGCCAAAGAGTATAGACTATAGATATATACTGTGTAAAGTTGTAAAGCAGTGTAAGGTGTTATTGGTGACGGTCGTGCACAGAGTGGAAACAACGTATTTTGACTTAACGGAGTGCTAGTTTTCTTACTATCTTTCATTCACAATAATTCTCAAACATTTTTATTAATCATTTAATTCTAAACTCATGCTATTGGAAGTCTGGTCGCGAAAAAATCTTGTGTGGCAACTTTTTTATATATTCATACCTAAGACTGCTTTTTAGGATTGAACTTAATACAAGGTAAGTAAACTTTTTTTGTTTAATTTTCCTTTTTCTTAACAAGATACTTATAATTAGATTTAGGCTAAGTTGTAATTTGTTAGGATTTTTTTTATATTCCTGATGTAAACAATTATTGAAGGATCAAATTAGATTTATTCAAGATATAATAAGGTATAGGTATATTTATATTGTGCATACTTATATTAAAATAGATAGAAGCTATTTTAATTTTTTTTTAATAATATAGGTATTGCCTTTATAACACAATTTCTTAATAATGTTTTACTAGAATATGTACATTATGTATAATTTCTATATTAAACATGTTATAATAATCAGTAATATCTAGTTTAAATAATTTTGTATGTTTAATATTTTAAATTCATTTCAATTTAGCAGAGATTTTTTAAAACCATTGTTCCTAAATGCTTTGTTTGTTGTTTATTACTAAAAGAATTAGCAATACAGTGTTGGAATTCCCATAATCTTGAACAAAATTCAATAAACACGTGTTTTCATTAATTTTGATAAATCTGCTATTTAAAAAATGTTGTATAAATTAAATTGTTTTCAGCAATGTAATAAATAATTACCTAATAGTACTTGACAAATAAAACTTGCATTGTTATGGAAAAGCATATAATTGTGACTAATTAGTATTTAGTAGTTAAATTATACATTTATTATTTATCCTTGAAAATATTCAAATTATGCTCATGTATATAGATATAGAATAAAGATGTATATAGATGTTGAATAAAGAAAAGAAAAGTATAAAACTATTCACCGTTTAATATATTTCTTCATAGAATAATATTCAGTAATCGTAACATTCAGTGTCATGCAAATATAAAAAGACAAGTTACATAAAATAAAATAAAAGAGAAATGGATATTTGAAAAAATAGGGACTTGTCTTAGAATATTGGATGCAGCAGATATTGTTCTGTCAGAGGCTTTTAACATTTGAACAGGCAACACTATTATTATACATATGAAAAAATTAAATTTCAAATTCGTATCAAAAATATTTGTTAATGTTAAACGTTATCGCTTATATAATTTTTTTGCTATAAAGTATAACTAATGCATTCTACACAGAGGCAGAATGGTTAAAAGTGAACTTCATTGAATATGATAAGTTATTTTAGTACAAAATTTTTTTGCTGACACTGCATAATTAGTAGACATTATCAGACTGTAGCCTAGAAATTAGCTGTTATAATTCAGTAGGTACACAATGTTCCTTGTCAAGTTTAACACTTCCAGGTAAATTTCTAAGAAATTAATTAAATTTCTAAGAAATAAATTTCTAAGTAATCTATTGTTAACTGTAACGCCGGCGTGTCCGTGGTCGTGGAGGGATTAAGAAAGTTTACTAGATTGTAAAAAACTTAAAGACTACAAACTACAAAGGTGGGTTTGTTAGTATGTACTAGGAAATCAATCAAAAGCACATAGTAATCTACATGTGTAACAGTAATTTCCAACAACTACAGTGTAAATAAAGTGCATCAATTCATAACAACATTCATTGTAATTTGTATAAAAGTTGGCACTTAATAATTTGTATAAAGATTTGTATGAAGATAAACGTTGACCTGGATAACCAGCTATCATTATACCAAAGTTCATCAAAATATGTCCAGTGGTTTTCTCGTGATCGTTCTCAGACAGACAGACTTAAGTAGTTCCCGTGGGATAGTTAAAAAACTATAGTATCTTATACAGCTTAGTACACAACAACTTATGCACCTAATTTAGTAAAATTTAACATTCTGATACTTTATATTGCCGGTCAAACAACAGGTTATTTTTCATCCCGGAAAAATGAACGGTTCCCGTGGGAACTAATAGATCTCTATTAGTGTTTTTCTAGAGGCGAACCAGAGCGAAGCGAGGGTGAGCCGCTAGTACTAATATAATGAAGAGGTAAAGTTTGTGAGTTTGTGACGTTGTAGGGGGTAATCTCTGGATCTACTGAACCGATTTAGATGAAATTTAGTAAGAAGATAGTTTGAGACCCTGGGAAGGACATAGGATACTTTTTATCCCGGAAATCATCTCTTAAGGGGGTGAAAACGGGGATGAAATTTTGTATTGGGAAGCAAGCCAAGGACGAACCCGAGCGAAGCGAGGGTGAGTAGCTAGTAATATTATAAGTATGGATGTAAAGATATGTGACATCTAAGGTAACATTTGAATATCAATCATGAAGGTTTAAAATCCAGATCTCGCCCCATATGCGAATCATTTTCGAAATGATAACCACTTATTACGGTGTAGAAAAACTTCGTGGAAAGCCTGCTTATCTAAATCTCACTAGACGAATCTCAAAGTTCTATCTGTGTTATATTTACGTCTGTTATTTTATTCTTTTAAGCATTAATAATAGGATTGTGTCCTGTCATTACAGCATAATAAAACGGTACGTAATGATTAAAATTGTGAGAAAATACCTTTCCTTAGACATATGTACAATTGTAGGTACAGGAAGATAGAGCGTTACGCTTCGAGTCCTTAGAATACCATTGACCTTTACGAATGTAAACAATGTTTCGCAATGTCTGCTGATAGTAATTAAAAATTTATTGTATCTAAAGATACCTATCTCTGGCTATCAAGTACCATCG